TAGCTGAGGCTCTGCGTTTTCTAGGCCCTTGCTGCTTCCATTTGGTGGTGAACGCGTTGATATCTTTCAGCATCTTTGTTTTATTTCCTCTCTCCTCTTCCACTCACTCTCTAGCCCTGATTGATTTCTTTTTTCATAGCAAGTTGGGTTTAATTCTCACCTTTTCAAAATTTGTACTCATAGTAGAGGAGAGCACAGAATATTAGAAACCCCTAGGATGGAAAGGGCATGATTTGAAGTCAGACCTGAGTTTGAATTCCCTCTCTTGTCACTTACTGATTGTGTGACCTTGTCTCTTTTGTCATAGTTTCATGTTCTCTTGAAGCCCAGCCCCCATCTCCCAGAGACTACTGGTATAAGATGACATTCCCTTCTGCTCTGGGTTTTTGTCTTCAGCCCCATCCCCTCCATATGCCAACAGTGCTGTGCATGTAGTTGTCAATTGGTTAACAAGGGTTGGCCAATCACACTAATAGAGAATTAGCACATTCACCATTTGCATTAAAGGGACAATAGATACATTTAGCAAATATTTATAGATTCCTGTTAATGTGCCAGGCATTGTGTTAGATAAGTGATGTGTAAATCTGGGCATGGGGTCTGTGGTGGTATCCTGGGTGGGAATACTTCTTTGAGCAGATGCTATTTAAGCTGAAATCTGGAGGAGTTGGGAAGGCAAAGATGGAAGTTGCAACAAAAAGTCCTCCAAACTCTGGAGTCCCACGTGCGGTTCTTCATTGGTTAGGTCTGCTGACCTCTGCATTCATCATTATGCCAAATTTTCCTCTAGTACTTTAATTATCCAGCTGCTATTGCTCTTTTAATTGTTCCTGATTTCTCATATCTTCCTAATAAAATAGAAAGCACCAAGTTTTTAAATTAATTTCTCCTGCCCTGTACTTCATAGCAAGCTTTTCTAATTTCCTTTCCCCAGTCAGAATTTCTGTTGGTGCCCTATCTATAGCCTCTTGAAGACCACCATTCCCATACATGTCAAAGCTCTTGCCTACACATAGATGAGTTTCCATGCCTTAGAGCTTTCTCTGGGCAGGAATGCTGGGGAGTACCCAAATAGTGAGTGACAGCACTTGAACCCCCAATCAGTGACTGACAGAAGCTTTGAACCCCAATTGCCTATACTGATAACCTGCTTATTAGTCTACTCCAGGTTGGCTTTCTTCCCTTCCACCTTCTATCCTCTCCTCTCTCTAGTGCTTCCTGGCATCATTTCCTAAATAAACTGCTTGAAGTCAGATCTTCAGAATCTGCTTCTGGGAGACCCAATCTTAAATAGAGGGCAGATACGGGGTTTTGGTAAGTCATACCATGCAGACTTTGTCCAAACCCTATTCAGACCTTGAATGTCTGCCCGTGAGTGAAAACTCAGAGCAGCATAGGAAAGGACATTGCATGAAGAAAATATGCAGACTTAAGTGGGAGAGGAACATAGAAAAGAAAGTTTTACTCCCTGCTGCATTATTTAATCTTTTCTTGTACCTCATTTACTCTTCACTGAACAACTTTGCAAGATAAATTTGTCAATTTCCTTTCCTACGGGTAAAGAAACTGAGACCAGAAAGATTAAGTGACTTGCCCAAGTCACAGGCTTGGGGCAAGTCAAAGCTGTGCTGCTTTCTCAGTCCAGTAGTTCTCAAACATGTTGAGGAGGCCAAGCTCATGGTGTCAGTATGATTTTTACAGATCATAGTAAAATCTCAACATATTAGATTCAAAATAGCTAAGTATGTTATTTAAGTATAGTTAAGCTCATTCTTCCTTAGAGGCCACTTCCTCCAGGAAGCCTTCCTTAACCCGTACAGCATTCCCAAATGCTGCACCACACCCTGAATCCTGCCGTAGCCCATCAGGATAGTTTATTGAAATTTCCTGTTTGTTTGTCTATATCTCTCAAACTCTGAGTAGAATAAGGGTCAGGATTGTACCTTATCGTTGTGTCCGAAAACCTCAGTGTATAGTACATATTTAATAAATATGTGAACAGACCTCAGTGTATAGTACATATTTAATAAATACCTGAGTGGATGACTATACTTACAGCTAAATATAGTTATGCTCAATTACTAGATTCTGATCTAGATATGTAAGAGGCAACAGAGGTCTGAGAGAGTTGAATTAATGGGAGAAAAATTGAGAAAATCCTGCCATTCAACTTTGTTTTCAATTTGGCGAGCAAGGCAAGAACCTGGTTTGAGAACCTTTGTGCCCTGCCCATGTTGACTTTGGAGGAACTTTGTGGCAGTCACGGAACAGCTGCCACATTGAGGAGCCTCCTCATAACCTCCAGCTGCCTCCCCAGGTCAGCAGGGGTTATATGCCTTCAGCTTTCTACCCTTAGCTTTCAGGGTTTCAGTCAGTCCTTTAATTTTGATCCCTGAAGGGTGGGGGGTGGGGGGATGGGGGTGCGCAAGGAGAACAGGCATTAATTGAGGAATTGTGTATCTCCTATTCATTCTTCAAGAGAGGCCACTTCCTGCAGGAAAGCTTCCCTAACTCCTGCACCATTCCCATAAACTGCACAGCATCCTGAATCCTACTATAGCCCATTAGGATAGTTTATTGAAATTTCCTGTTTATTCGTTTGTCTCTAACTCTCAAACTCTGAGCAGAATAAGGGTCAGCATTGTACCTTATTTATCATTTTGTCCCTAAAACCTAGAATAGACCTCCGTGTATAGTACGTATTTTATAAATATGGGAGTAGATGAATGCATCAACTTTATGCTAGTTCCTGGAAATACCAAATTTAAAAAAAAAAAAATGGGTTTTTGTTCTCAAGAACCCCTGGGGTTCTAGAGAGATGAGTAAGTAAATAATGAAATTATGGTACCTAAGTGACCTGTCCTTGTTGATGTCGTGGGCAGCCTTCTGTAGGAACTGGAGCTTCAATTTGATTTTAAATGAATAGCAGTTGGAGGAGAGAACAGCATGTGCAGAGGCATTGAGGTATGACACACAATGACTCATTCTAAGAATTACAGGTAGCTTCAAACAGCTGGAACACATTTCTAGATAACAAACCTAGAAACACAAGTTGGGACGTGGCTGAAAGCTTTTAACTTTGTATTAAGCATTGGGGACTTGAGCCTAAATATCTGAGGTGTACCACTGAATGATTCTAATTCAGAGAAAGACATGGTGGTTTAGAAAGTCTGCCCAGGGCAGCAGGTATTTGTCACACTCCTTGGTGCTTTTCTGCCTGTGTCCTCAAACCTGCCTACACAGGGCCTGGTACAATTGACATGCCCAGTAAATACTGGCACCTTTAAATGGGAGTGGAAGGAGAGAATATCACCAGAATTGGTATAGAAGATCCATCAGAGGTGGAAAGAGTAGGAAGGTAGTCATTGAACTCATCTGACCATTTTTCAGGATCCTTCATTGTGCATTTATTTCCTTCTTGGCAGTTCTCATATTATCCTGACCTTGTTGGGATTATTCTATATATTCACATGTAAGAGTTTTCATACTTGTTTAATAATTAGAGATTGCTTTTATGAAAAAGAAAACTGATCTTCCTACATCCACCTTTCTCCTGTTCTAAACACAGCAGCCAGAGTGATCCTTTTTGAACTTACATGAGAGCCTGTCGTTCCTGTGCTCAGAATCTTCTACTGTCTCCTAATTGAGTTCAGAGTCAAAGCCAAAGGCTTTATTATGACATAGAAAGCCTGCATGACCTGGCTGCTCTCTGATTTCTTTTCTACCACCCTCTTCGCTCACTCTGGTCCTCTGCACTGGCCTCCTTGCTATTCCTCAAAACACATATGCTGTTCCTTGCATCCAGAACACACCCCAGATACACACAGGGCTCATTCCCTCACTTTGTTCAACCCTTTGCTTAGTGATTGTTATCTCAGGCCTTTCCTGACCATTGTGTTCAAACTTAATAACATCTGTCCTAACTCTCTGCTCTCTCCTTTGCCCTGTTTAATTTTTCTGCACAGCACAAATCAATGTTATTATGTCATATGATGTACTTTTTGGTGTGTGATTGTCTGTTCTCCATCACTGGAATGAAGCTCCATGAAGGTAGTGTTTTAGGTCTGATTTACTGCTCTTTCCCAACACCTAAAATGAAACCTGGCACCAGAGTAGGAGCTCAGTAAATATTTGTTAAATTAAGAAATGAGAGCACACTTTTGTATTGCTCTTTGAGGTAAACTGCTCTCTGTAAACTGGAAAGAAAGAGTATTAGTCTATTCTCATGCTGCTAATAAAGACACACCCAAGACTGGGTAATTCATAAAGGAAAGAGGTTTAATTGACTTCAATTCAGACTGATTGGGGAAGCCTCAGGAGACTTACAAGCATGGTGGAAGGGGAAGCAAACATGTCCTTCTTCACATGGTGGCATCAAGAAGTGCAGTGAAGGGGATGAGGAAGCCCCTTATAAAACCATCTGATCTTGTGAGAATTCACTCACTTATCACCAGAACAGCATCAAATCACAGGGGTGGTTATCACCAGATAACCATCCTGTGATTTGATTACCTCACATGGGTCCCTCCCACAACACATGGGGATTATGGGAACTACAATCCAAGATGAGATTTGGGTGGGGACACAGCCAAACCATATCAGAAAGGGAAGAAGATTTATTTGCCTTTTAAAGAAGGTCACTACTGAGTCCACATCAGAGGGAAACAAGGCCTTCCTTTGCACCCCGGAGCACCACAATATCTTAGCCATCAGTGAACGACACTTGAGAGGTGGGACTTGCTCTACACCAGTGTTCATGTCCCAGCCTCTGATTGGCCAGCTAGAGCTGAAGGGAAGAAGAATAGGAAAAGTCTTCTTGGTTTTCTCTTTTCATTTGCTGAGAGAGTGTTAAACAGAAAGATAATTTTGGTGACGAGTAATTTAATTTGTACTAAATTCCCCATTTAAGCTAAATGTTGTAGATTATGTGATTGAAAAGACTCAGTAGACTTGATAGTGTGAAAGAATGGTGATGGCAAACATGTTTTCCCTCGTCAAAGGTGTTTCATGGGATTCCCTTCCGGATGAGCTGCTTTTGGGGATCTTTTCCTGTCTGTGCCTCCCTGAGCTGCTAAAGGTCTCTGGTGTTTGTAAGAGGTGGTATCGCCTAGCGTAAGTATTTTTTATTTATTTATTCATTTTGGTCTGATGAAACTAAAAACCGAGAAAAATAGAGCAGCACAAAGCAAACTAGGGGAGATCAGATGGAAGGGAATCTAATAAAGATTCTACAAAGCCAATAATAATTATTTAAAAGTTTAACAAGGCTCCTATCATTATAGTTTTATTAATATTTTTGTTAATATCTTCATATTTTTATTAATAAGTGTCCCCATTTCACAGTGGAAGAGGAATTTCCTGGGAGGTGTAAACTTATCAATGCTTGGAAACCTCTTTGCCCTGTATTCAGTGCAGCCTGTGTTTATTGGATGCTGACCGTGGGCCAGGCAGTGTGCTCTAAGAGCAGAGGGAATTACAGAGGTGCATGCAGACAGCGGTTCCTCACGCCAGTAGGCTGAGCAGTGAGCACAATGGGGAAAGGGAACACAGGCTTGGTGTGAGACCCGAGTGCACACCCAGCCTTTGCTGCTTATGTTCTGCATGACCTAAGCCAGTTACTTGACACTGCTGAGCCTTAGTCTCCCCGTATGTAAATGGGGATAATGGTTATGAAGATGAAACCACTGGTTATGAGGATGAAATGTGAAGATGCTGGTGCAATACCTGACCCATAGACATGTTCAGCACAGAGTAGCCATTGGTGCGGTTTTGCTGGGTTTTTTTGGCAACAATTTTCAGGTGTTGACGGTGAGCTGCCCGTGGAAAGATCTGGTGACCTGGGAAGGCAATCACAGGCCTGGAGCAAGAAAAAGGCTTTGTTTTTCAACTGCAACTTTTTACTATCTTCATGCCTTCTCATCCCTATTCTACTCTCTGGTTGTTCTTTGCTTTGTGTTTAAAGGTCATCCGTCGGGCTTCTTTCTCGACATACCTAGAATTCCCTTTGTGAGATAGCAGGAGGCTCTTGCCTTCAAGGGTGTGCTGGTATTTACAGGTGTGGGTTTTTGCTTGGAAGAGCTGCAGAGAGGTTTGCACACCTGGAATACTAGTGCAAGTGGCAGGCAAGTTTCACTTACCCTCACTCCACTCAAGGAACCCCACTTTCTGTTTCTGCCGGCTGTGCATATGTCCTTTTCTTGCAGCATCTATTAATCTCATTTTAAAATTTTATTGTATATATACATGCAAGTGAAATGGCTACTGTAATCAAGTACATTAACATATTCATGATCTCACATAGTTACCCCTTTTTTGTGGCAAAAGCACCTGAAATTTACTCTTTTAGCAAAAGTCCTGACTACAATACAGTATCATTGACTGTAATCCTCCTGTTGTACACTACATCTTTGGATATGTTCATCCTGCGTATCTGTGGCTTTGTATTCTTTGACTACGTCTCCCCTAGAATCCGTTAAATTTCATCTCAGTTGCATAAAAGTAATAACTGACATTTATTAAGCACTTGCTATGTGACAGTTGCAGTGTTTGTTGTTTAATCCTTCTCACTTAAGTGATGGTGTTTGGTCATCTCAGTTTCAGAGATGAGGAAACTGCGGTGTCAGGAATAGTAGGTTGAGACATAAGTGGAAAGACAGGAATCTAAAGTCTGGCTAATTCCAGTCTTCACCATCACACCATATCTAGTTTTGCTTGGCTTAGGGTTCAGGTAGCTCCCAAATTCATTTTTCTGTGAGGTGTTCATCTTCCTGAAAAATGTATATTAGGAAGAAAATGAATTTTCCAAAACTTTTCCTAGGTTGTTACTGAATGCTGGTTAAGCTATAGTTTGCCTTCGTGCAAGAGGAGACATCAAGCATGAGCTTCAAGACAACCAGAGCAGTGCTGATCTGGTGCCAATCAGTGCTGACCTTGGAGGCCAAAATGGATTTCTGTCTGAGCAAGAAAGATACAAAAGTGTGCTACTCTCTTACAGATATCTTATCTACAGTCCACCTTTTTAATGATAGAGGTCAAATCACACACTGATAATTTCTCTATGATGAAATTATTTCATAACTCTGGCCAGTGGTCCCCTTATTTCAAGCACTATTAAAAAAGAAGATTCTAGAACATTTAAGCATTTAAAAAGTTCCTTCATGTGCTTGTATTTTACATTTTCTTTTTTTAAATTGAATTCAAGTATGGATATTAAAACTCTGTTTCTGTGCTATTCAGTACAGTTTTTGAATGTCCTTTTTGTTTTAGAAGCATCATCTTTTATATGATCTTTTATAAAAGATTTTATGATCTTTTATAAAAATATAACAAAAAGTTATATTTTTCCTTTCTGTTTTAACATTAGTTCACACACACATATACTCGTGTGTGTTTTAAGCTTAAAAGATGTTCTAAGGCACATTTGAATTATGGCTGTTCCTACTGGCTATCTACGACAACCTTATTTCACAATAAAATAATGCTAACTTTCCTTCCTTTAGCAATATTTCCATGTTATTACAGTAATCGTGGTAATTGCTTAACAAAAGTGGCTAATAAGATCCTCTAAGAAGTTTTGAATCTACTTGCCTAGTATTATAATAATTAATTGATTTGAGCAATCATTTTTTAAATTTGTCAGCTTGAATGCTGGAATATTATTCTCTGGTTCTAGATCACGGCAGTGCCAGTGTTCACATTGAACCATCTAAATTGGAAGTATGTAGAAAGAGAAAGATGGAAGCTTTTCCTTGGTGAGATCGAGAAAAATTTTCTAGTGCCTTAAAAATATCATAACTAATTGTATAGTCAACTTAAAAACAAAGGTTGTTTCAGAATGCGCTTGAAGGGGATTTAACAGCAGTGCTCTCCTTGTTAGTAATGTTGTTGAGGGTCTCCAGCATTTAGTGTGACCAACTGGCCAAATTAAGCACGTCCTCTTTTCTAGGTTTGACGAGTCTCTATGGCAAACCTTAGACCTCACAGGTAAAAATCTGCACCCGGATGTTACTGGTCGGTTGCTGTCTCAAGGGGTGATTGCCTTCCGCTGCCCACGATCGTTTATGGACCAACCATTAGCTGAACATTTCAGGTAAAGATGAAAAATCCCTGGAAAAGATGATTTTTAAATTTTGAGGTAGAAACAGATCAAAACTTTTTTTCTTTATTCAGCCTTATAGCCTATGATAGGTTATCTTTGCAGTGTGAGATATTAATTGCATACTTTGCTTTGGGGACTTTATGCTGAAACATAGCATAGATTTCAATGACACTGTTCCCATTTCACTCAAGGTTACTGTTAGTCTCTTCCTAGGGTGAAAAAAGCACAATTATCTTCTCAAGTCCTCAGCTGATGGGGGCTGTGAGTCCCACAAGGCAGGCACAAGTAAAGCACTCACTGGCAGATGCAAGGCTGCCCAGTTATTTTCCCACCACCCATTTCTGATTAAAAAGAAAAAAGAAAGTGAGGCATGTTTTCGTATTTGTAGCTTGGAGTTTATGATTTTGTCGGGGAGAAATTTGGAACCTGAAAAAATTGCCCTCTTTTTGTTCATTTTGTAGAATATTTTGAAAAAGAATTTTCTGTTACTGATAACGTTGTAATACTAAGGTTACTGCTATCACATACTTGAGTAGAATAACTAGGTACTGAACAGAAAAAAACTGAAGACCACAGAGCTAAAGATAAAACATGTCTCTTGACTTCAAAACTTTTTTCCTTTCTTTCTGTAGTCAGAATCACATCTCCCGCTGCTTTTTAATCCCGTTCTCCTGTGGCTGTTCCTTCTCAGTCTCCTCCACACGTGTGATTTCATTTGTTTACTCTGGGGTTGGTTCCTGGCTGCTGCCTTTTTCAAATCCAAATGCTGTGTCCTATACACCCACATTTATGCCCAGGACTCGCAGTTCCTCATCTATAGCTTGGCCCTCTTTCAAACTCCCAAATTTCTAATTACCTAAAAATTTCTGTACCTGAATTTCTTACAAGTACTTCAGTATTAACATAACTAAAATTAAATTTGGCTTCCCTTCCCTCCCCTTCTGCAAGATGGAGTCTCGCTCTTTCACCCAGGCTGGAGTGTCGTGGCATAATCTTGGCTCTCTGCAACCTCCACCTACTGTGCTCAAGCAGTTCTTCTGTTTCAGCCTCTCTAGTAGCTGGGACTATGGGTGTCCTCCACCATGCCTGGCTACTTTTTTGTATTTTTAGTGGAGATGGGGTTTCACCATGCTGGCCAGGCTGATCTCAAACTCCTGACCTCATGATCGGCCCTCCTCTGCCTCCCAGAGTGCTGGGATTACAAGCGTGAGCCACTGTGCCTGGCCTGGCCTCCCTTTAAAACTTGCTCTTCCACTGTCTTCCCTGTTCCACTGCTGCTCACCCACTCACCCTTGCCAGAAACCAGGAGCCATTATAGTCTTAATCTCCTTGTCACCCACATCCAGCTCCTTGTTGTGATGCACATTCATTGTTTCCTAAGTGGGACTATATTGGCAGCAACATCTGTACTTGGCAAAAATCCTCTTGAATTTTAAAATGAATGAGGGTGGGAATACACTAGTAGCAATTTTTTTATGACCAAAGCTATAGTTAATGCTTGAAGTGTATATTTCGGGTCTTGTTGGTGATTGGTTGCTCATTTGGGGAGAAGGAGGGGTCTGATTCAATCTGAATGTACCTTTGAGAGCCACCTATGGAGCCCCTTTTTTCTCTCCGTGTTTAGCCCTTTTCGTGTGCAGCACATGGACCTGTCGAACTCCGTTATTGAAGTGTCCACCCTCCAGGGCATTCTGTCTCAGTGTTCCAAGTTGCAGAATCTAAGCCTGGAAGGCCTGCGGCTGTCAGATCCCATTGTCAAGTGAGTGGCAGCCAGAGTGTCACAAAGGCAGTTGTTTTTATGTGTATGAATTTTTTCCCTGTATATAACTAGGGTGCCCTTCTAGCCATATCCAGGTGGATACATAAAGCATCTAGTGCAGTGCTCAAGCTTCTGCAGAACTTTTCAGGACTCATTGAAGCAACAAAAGCTCGAATGCTAACTATATGCCAGACCCTGTGCTAGGTTCTAGAGATACAAGGGTGAACAATGCATGTGTATTATTTGGGAAGAAAATGAATGTTCCAAAACGCTTTCCAGGTTGTTAGTGAATGCTGATTAAGCTACAGTTTACCTTCTTGCAAGAGGAAACATGGAGCAAGACATGTCTGTTTCCTCTTGCAAGAAGGTAAACTATTTATGAGCCAGACAGATAATTACCATGCAGTGTGTTTATTAAATGTTTCAGTGAATATGTGGCAACACGGGCGGCCTTCTTAAAGGAAGTGACTCTTAAGCTGAGTATTGAAGATATCTAGGTAGGAGATCTCCAGGTAATAAGACAAAGGAACCAGCCTAGGTAAAGCTTTCTGTGTGGTTCTAAACGCTTAAGTAGTTGGAAGTTGCTGGCACACAGGACTCAGGAAGGGGAGTGACAGGAGGTGAGGAGAGTCAGGGACCAGATTGTAATGGGCCTCTACATTTTACTGCAAGAAGAATGGACTCTTCCATCAAGAGGGAAGCATGGGCTGGTCGTGGTGGCTGACACCTGCCAGCACTTTGGGAGACTGAGGTGGGCGGATCATCTGAGATTGGGAGTTCAAGACCAGCCTGGCCCACGTGGTAAAACCCCATCTCTACTAAAAGTACAAAAATTAGCTGGGCATAGTGGCAGATGCCTGTAATCCCAGCTACTAGGAGGCTGAGGCAGGAGAATAGCTTGAACCCAGGAGGCAGAGGTTGCAGTGAGCTGAGACCATGCCATTGGATTCCAGCCTGGGTGACAAGAGCAAAACTCGGCCTCAAAAAAAAAAAAAAAAAAAAAAGAGGGAAGCATGATGGAGAGAGTAGTTCTGAGAAAGAAAGGAACATGTCGAGAGTTGAAATTTAGGAAATTAACCTATCAGGGACCATGAAGGGTCCATCGAGGATAGAAGAAACTAGAGTAGTTAAGGATACTGCTGTGTTCATTCAGGTGAGAGAAGATGAAGTCTAATATAAAACAGATAGCAATAATGGCAGCTAATGTTTGGGGGAATGTATTATGTGCCAGACAGTGAATTTTGTAAATGTGTTCTCATTTAATTCTGATAGTAACCCCATGGAGTATAATCTTGTTTCCTTTTTATAGATGTGGAAACTGAGACACAGGGAGACTGAATAACTTTTCCAGGGTCACACTGTTAGTAGGTGGCTGAACCAAGATATGAACCTAGTGATATAGTATTCCAGAATTCTTGCTCTTAATCACTAAGTTTTACAGGACATTTGGGGATGTTGTAGAGAAGATAGCAAATTTGAGAGATGTATAGTCAAAAGAACCTGGTGATTTTACAAGTAGAAGTTTGTCTGCAAGCTAATTCTGAATGAAATTGGATATATGTTTATTCCGTTGTCTTTTTAACTGAAAAAGTACACTGATATATATACTTGTGTATTTGCTTTGTAGTAAGTCTTTTATTACATTATCATTTAATCTTCTTAATAACTCTACCAAGAAGGTTTGATAATATCATTTCACAGATGAGTAAACTGAGGTAAGTTATCCTGTTTGATGTCTCAGAAATAGTGAGATAATTTAAATAATAAATGTATATTTAAAATAATATACATTTTCAACTCACTCTGACTCAAAGAGCTGGAGCTTAACTCTCATTGCCTGCTTTCATGTAAATGTTGATGAATAAATAGTATCTTATTGGTCTTTTTCTTCTGATGTTTTTCTCTTTTTCCAGTAATCTCGCGCAAAACTCAAATTTAGTTCGACTTAACCTTTGTGGGTGTTCTGGATTCTCTGAATTTGCCCTGCAGACTTTGCTAAGTGGCTGTTCCAGGTACAAAAGATATGAGACTTGATTATAGACTCTTATATCAAATTATCCCTCACATCTATATAAAATTGGTTGAACTTTGTGAGCTTTCTGCAACTTTCCAGGCTCTTGATTTTGTGAATGCAAAATGTTTCGCCCTCCAAACTTCCTGTTCAAACTCAGGAGCCAAGTCAATTCAGTTTGCAAGTGATACTAGTATAGTGATCTTTTTTTTATTTGTAACTGTTAAAATAAGGAAAATACAGTAGTGTCTATCAACTGTATGGTTGTAAGAAATCTGCTCACACTTAACAATACAGTCAGGTTTTTCCCCCTATGGTATTTGTAGACCTAACTTAAAATTTTTAATGAAATTTGGTGTGTTATAAATATATACCATAAATAAATTTGGTCAGTTCTATTAACAATATCTCTTATAATAATGTTAGCACATAAAGGATACAGAATTACAAATATTGCTAAGTGAGGGGAATATATGGTTTTTGGAATACACAGTACTATGCATATGTGTGTTTTTTAAAGATATCTCTTGGTCTCCATGGTACAGCATTTGTATCTGTGCCTTGTTAATGGTCCATTTAAAATAGATTGCCTCCGGATATGAATGTTACCAGTGAGATCAAATGTGTAGCCCTATATTTAGTCAGCAGTGCCAGGAAATGGGGAGTGGGGATGAACGGTTGTATGTTGTCTCTGAAACAACTCATTTTGCTTAGTTAGCAGAGGCATGGTAAGGTGAAGTGGCTTTTTGCAATGTCAGCATCTCTTTATTACGAATCCTTGGTGCATTCCATCAGTTGTTTAAAACATCCTGAGTTATTGATCATCTGGGTTGTGTAGTTGGTAGTTTGAGAAAGCAAACATAAAAGACTAGCATTTCTACCTGCAGTACTGGAATAAGATTTGAGCCATCAAGAAGAGAGTGCTTCCCTCCATTTCCAGAAGGAGGCAGCATTCACCAAGGCCTCTGCGCTGACCCTCTGGCAACTTTCAAGAGTAAACAGGGTATATACTCAGGTGACAAAAAGTAGCTGCCATTAACGAAGCGGGTGTTCTGTGTGTGAAATAAGGAATCACTGGCTTTGCATTTTCTTTCTTTGTGGTTTAAGACAAACTCATTCCCATGTGATGGTTTCATATTTTCTTTGTTAACCCCTCTTTTGTGCAGACTGGATGAGCTGAACCTCTCCTGGTGCTTTGATTTCACTGAGAAGCATGTGCAGGTGGCTGTTGCGCATGTGTCAGAGACCATCACCCAGCTGAATCTTAGTGGCTACCGAAAGAATCTCCAGAAATCAGGTTAGAGCTTCCAAGCCTGGACCACTGAGGCCTTCACAGCATAATAGATTAGATTCATTGAGCTTCTCCTAATTGTTCCTCCTCATATGTTTTCTGATTTAATCCAGTGCCTGTGTTATTCCCCTCTTTCAGGTGGGGTAGCTGTAGATCTGAAGATCAGGTAAAGGTAAACAGCTAGTGAACTAGAGCCAAGGTTTGAATTCAGGATCTAACAGTAGAAACCTTTATATTTAAAAACAATGTATTTTATTTATTTATTTATTATTTATTTTTTTTTTTTGAGACGGAGTTTTGCTCTTGTTACCCAGGCTGGAGTGCAATGGCGTGATCTTGGCTCACCACAACCTCCGCCTCCTGGGTTCAGGCAATTCTCCTGCCTCAGCCTCTTGAGTAGCTGGGATTACAGGCACGCGCCACCATGCCCAGCTAATTTTTGTATTTTTAGTAGAGACGGGGTTTCACCATGTTAACCAAGATGGTCTCGATCTCTTGACCTCGTGATCCACCCGCCTCGGCCTCCCAAAGTGCTGGGATTACAGGCTTGAGCCACCGCGCCTGGCAATGTATTTTTAATCAGAAAAACTTTTAATCAACTAAATGATTAGATAAATCTCAACATAAAAATGCATAAATGCAGCATTTGATTAGTATAAAGTAGTAGTTCTTCATTAGGGGCTATTTTGTCTGTACCGGGGCATTTGTGAATGTCTGGAGACAGATTTTATTGTCACAGCTGTGGTGTGCTGCTGGTCTCTCATAGGTGGAAGCAGGAATGCTGCCAGATGGTGTATAGGATAGGAGAATAGCACGCACAATAATCTGGTCCAAACATCAGTGTCAGGGTTGAAAAACTCTGTTATAAACCCTGTTAATACGTTCACATTTATGACGTTTACTTTGTATTCAGTCCAAGTGGGCAATGAGGCTTTTTAGGCGAAGACAGGCATTGGAAGTCGGGGTAGCGGGTAACAGTCTTTACAAACATTAATATTCAGTTATGCTTTATTTTATTTGTATGTTAATGAGAAAAGTCCTGATTTGTAAAGGCAAGTGCTTGCAAATGGCAAGTTTTTTAAATGGCTTCGCCGTCTCAGGCCAACATTCAGCCTGTGGGCTATACAAAACCTGGTTAAACCAGCCACCCACGTCGCCATATCTTGATGTTAGTACTAGCTTATTTGAGTGTGTTTTGTTTATTATAGTTTTTATTATTCTGAAAAAGATTTGAAGCAAACATCAGCAGAATATATCTTAAAATTTAAGTAGTGTAAAACTACTTCTCCAGGACAGACATCCTCTGGTAAGAGATAAAAAGCTATAGAAAATAATTACTAGACTCATGAGTGGGTAGAGATTTGAGTCTTTTGCCTGTGCGAGGACTCAAATTTGGGCTTCTGCCATTCCAACCCTTGCATTTTCAGACAAGGTGAACGCTTTCTTTAGTGAACCATAAAAGTAGGAATCATGTCTTTATTTTTTACCAATCTCCCCACCCAGTATTTATCTGTACTATTTTAAACCTGATCATAGTGTTATGTAGTCTTTTTCAAAAGTATGTAAAATATGGAAAAACACAAAGGGAAGCAAATCACCAATAATGAACATCTTGCTAGGCTTTTTCCTGTATAAAAACAGTTTTATTTAAATGGAGCATAATACATGAAATACTTTGTAATATGCTTTTCCCCGCCCCCCAATAACTCCATTTTCAGTGGCTACGTTATATCATCAGTGACTATGTGATAGTCCATCAAATAGCTATGTAATAATTTATATTAAATCAATATAACAATTTATGCAGTTGATCACCTTCTAATGGACATTCAGAATCTTCTGTTTTTCTGTCCTATAAACAATTTTATGAGTGACAGAGAAAAATCTTTGGATGCATTTCTAAGGATGGATTCTTAAAGTGGAATTGCTGAGTCCAGCATTAGGTACTATCCTCAAGTTTTGGATAGCTTTTGTCAAATTTTCCTCCAAGAAGTTTAAACTCCCACCCACAAGCCATCCTCTTGGTGTGAAATCCCATCACTCTTGGCTCTTCTCTGTTCATCCGCAGGTGAAGGGAAGGCAGTGCCTTGTTTATATTTCTTGACCACATCTGGATCTTCCTCTACTTCACTGAAAGATTTTCTGACATGAACTGAGGCTCTGGGTGCAAGGTTGAGAAACTGCTGTAGGCAAAGTGCTGTTGGTTTTGTCCAAGTTTAGCTTAAAACCTTTCCCTTTGTTTCTCCAAGAAAGAGAACAGAGAGCCTGTTTACCGAGTTTTTGGCAGAAATAGTAGGTATTAAAATTCTGCTTGCTAGACACATTCAGGAAAGAGAGACAATATAAATTGAAGTGTTTGTTTTTTAATTATTCAATGGGGATAAAAAGGTTTTTAATGTCACTAACAATAGCACACACCATTTCATTATGTCAGAGATAATATGGATTTGGTTTTAGCTCATAGAGTGGTACCAGATGGCCTGGGTTCAAATACCCACTCTGCCATTTGCTGGGTAGACGTGGGCAAGTTGCTAAATTTACCTGTTCCTTAGTTCTCTGAACAGTAAAATGGAGATAAGTAGAACTCACCTCTTAGAGTTACAGGAAAGAATAAATGAGTTAAGATACGTACAGCCTGTAGAACATTTCTTGGCACATGGTAAGAGTTCACTTACTGTTGGCTGTTATTACTGTTCCTTCCCCACTACCCGCATCACTACCTTTCCATGGAACAATGGATGAGGCACAGAAACCTTTGGTTTTGGATTTGACCTTGACTTACGTAGCTGAAATCACCTCTCCTTTGAAGTGACAGATTAGATTACATGGTTTCTAAGATCCCTTCTAGCTCAGGTTGGGTCTACTGTTTGTGGTGAAATTAAGGGGACAGTGAAGAGGGAAACTCGGCAGTGACTACTGTTTACTAACCCTTCCTGCTCAGGGAGGACAGAGCTTAAGTGTGGGGCAGAGAAGTAGACTAATCCACTTTATCCCTGAATGTTTAGTTCTTTCTTCAGTGGTGTCAAAGTATGAGTACATTTGATTTTGCTGATGGCTAGTTGGCTGGCTAGATGATTGGTCCCTCAGAACGTTATTGTGTACTTTTTTTATTTTTTGGTCATTCATTAAATGTTTATTGGGCACCTACAATGATTGAAGCTCTGTTCCAGACCCAGGAGAGGTAACCTTGAACAAAACAGAGAAAGTCACCCTTACGAAGTTTACTTTCTAGTAAGGTAGCCAGAAAGTGAACATATTTCATGAATGTTACGAAAGGAGGCGAAACTGCAAAGAAGAAAAGCAAAGCAGAGTAACCGGGTAGAATGTGGAGAAAGGGGACGACTTTTAGATGGAATAGTTAAAGACAGGGCCTCTCCGAGGAGGCTGCACTGGAGCCAGGTACCTGACTGAGTGAAAGAGGAATCCACATGCATATGTGAGAGAACATTTAAGGACAAAGGACCTGCAAGTGCTAAGACCTTGACGTGGAACCAGTGTGTGAGAGGGAGCAGGGAGAACAGTGAGAAGAGAGAGATGGCCAAGGGCTGTCTGAGCCAAGACAAAAGCTTTGAATTTCCCCTGTGTGAGATGGGAAGCCATTGGCATATTTCGAACAGAACAATGATATGACTGACTTAATTTTAAAAGACTTAATTTTAAAGCTGGTGCTGTGCTGAGAAAAGTCTGTAGGGGGAAGTATGAAGCAGGGAGACCAGTTAGGGGACTAGGGTGATGACACTTAAGGTGGTAAGAAATGATCAGATTTAGACACATTTTTAAAACCAACACCATGAGATTTGGTCACAGAATGAATGTGGGATGTGAGAAAAACAGTCCACTATGATTTCAAGGGTTTTGGCTGTAGCCCCTGGATTCGTGAAATTATCACTTGCTGAGATGGGAAAGAGTTTATGGAAGAAGGAAATTTAGGGGAGAAATTTGAGTGTTTGGTTTTAGACATAAATTTGGAGGCCTATTACATATCCAAACAGTATGTTGAGGAGGCAGCTGGAAATGCAAGTCCAGAATTTAGGGGAGGGGATATACCTGTGAGACGAAAAGACCCTCAAATGTTTGCCTGCCTGTGGTTCTAAATAAGTAACATTTATTGATTTATTTTCTGATTGCCAAGTAGCTCACCTGACTTTCTTCCAAATTCTGAAAAGTTGTCTGTAATCCTGACACCCTTGAATACTGAAGTTAACATTTTGGATGTATTTCCTTCCAGCCTTTTTTTTTTCTCTTTCTTTCTGTATACATGTTTGTGTGTAAATGTGAGTTGGAGTGTGTTTTGGCTAAGTTGAAATTATAATGCATTGTATATATTTTGTTTACAATCGTTTTTTTTTTTTTCTGTATAAAATGTTATCAGAAAACTTAAATAATGATTAGCATGTATTTCATGGAATGGATAAGGTTAACATATTAAACTAATTGGAAGAGGGACTAATATAACTGTTGCCACATTGAATATATTCATACACATCTATACTTTTCTAAAAGTGGAATAACTGGACCAAAGGTAAAGTGTGTAATTCTCTGAATTCTTAAAAAAAAAAAAATAGTTTACTATCCAAAAATAATCAATTCAGGCTCCTGAAAGCCCACAAATAAAATCAAGTATCTATACCTGTAGTGTACTTTATGATAGAACTGTTTTTCACTTGATGGCTGAGAAGCAGTATTTCTAATTTTCTTTGGTATTTCTTGCTCCTTTTTATAATCTTGGTATTTTATAATGTAGATTTGTTCATGTTCATTGCCTATTTTTGATTTATCTTTTCTCTCTTTATATAAGATTAACTCCCTTTATAATGTGTGTTGAAAACATTTATTTCCAGTTTTCTGATACTTTTTAAATTGTTTTAATGTGTTAGAGTTTTAAATTTTTATGTAGTAAATTTATGTGTTCCCTATGTTTTCTTTTAGGTTTAGAAATGCCTTATCCCAAGATTCAATTAAATAATCATCCTAAATTATTAATAATTTTTAGTATTTATTGTTGCCCTAAATATGCAAAAATATTTTTGTATTTAGAACTACTTATGTGAAATGTATTTAAATATGTTATTTGAGTTGGAGAAATAATTTTTCCAGTTATAGTAGCACTGTTTCTTTTTTTAAAATTATACTTTAAGTTCTGGCATGCATGTGCAGAACATGCAGGTTTGTTATATAGGTATACACGTGCCATGGTGGTTGACTGCATCCATCACCCCATCATCTACATTAGGTGTTTCTCCTAATGCTATGCTTCCCTATCCCCCAACCCTACCACAGGCCGTGGTGTGTGATGTTCCCCTTCTTGTGTCCATGTGTTCTCATTGTTCAACTCCCACTTATGAGTGAGAACATGAGGTGTTTGGTTTTCTGATCTGTGTTACTTTGCTGAGTATGATGGTTTCCAGCTTCATCCACGTCCCTGCAAAAGACATAAACCCATCTTTTTTTATGGCTGCATATTATTCCATGGTGTATATATGCCACATTTTCTTTATCCAGTCTTTCATTGATGGGCATTTGGGTTGGTTCCAAGTCTTTGCTATTGTGAATAGTGCTACAATAAACATATGTGTGCATGTGTCTTTATAGTAGAATGATTTACAATCCTTTGGGTATATACCCAGTAATGGAATTGCTGCATTATACAGTATTGCTGGTTCTAGATCCTTGAGGAATTGCCACATTATCTTCCACAATGGTTGAACTAATTGACGCTCCCACTGACAGTGTAAAAGCATTCCTATTTTTCCATATCCTCTCCAGCATCCATTATTTCCTGACTTTTTAATGATTGCCATTCTAACTGGTGTAATATGGTATCTCATTGTGGTTTTGATTTGCATTTCTCTCATGACCAGTGATGATGAGCTTTTTTTCTTATGTTTGTTGGCCACATAAATGTCTTCTTTTGGAAGTGTCTGTTCATATCCTTCGCCCACTTTTTGATGGGGTTTGTTTTTTGCTTGTACATTTGTTTAAGTTCTTCGTAGATTCTGGATATGAGCCCTTTGTCAGATGGGTAGATTGCAAAAATTTTCTCTCATTCTGTAGGTTGCCTGTTCACTCTAATGACAGTTTCTTTTGTTGTGCAAAAGCTTTTTAGCTTAATGAGATCCCATTTGTCAATTTGGCCTTTATTGCCATTGCTTTTGGTGTTGTAGTCATAAAGTCTTTGCCCATGCCTATGTCCTGAATGGTTGCCTCGGTTTTCTTCTACAATTTTTGTGGTTTTTAGGTATTACATTTAAGTTTTTAATCCAGGCATCCCCAAACTATGGCCCGCGGGCCGCATGTGGCCTCCTGAGGCCATTTATCCGGCCCTCTGCCGCACTTGAAGGGGCACCTCTTTCATTGGTGGTCAGTGAGAGGAGCACAGTATGTGGCGGCCCTCCAATGGTCTGAGGGACAGTGAACTGCCCCCCTTTGTAAAAAGTTTGGGGATGCCTGCTTTAATCTATCTTGAGTTAATTTTTGTATAAGGTGTAATTAAGGGGTCCAGTTTCAGTTTTCTGCATATGGCTAGCCAGTTTTTTCAGCACCATTTATTAAATAGGGAATTCTTTCCCCATTGCTTGTTTTTCTCAGGTTTGTCAAAGATCAGATGTGTGGTGTTATTTCTGAGCCCTCTGTTCTGTTCCATTGGTCTATATATCTGTTTTGGTACCAGTATCTTGATGTTTTTGTTACTGTTGCCTAGTAATATAGTTTGAAGTCAGGTAGCATGATGCCTCCAGCTTTGTTCTTTTCACTTAGGATTGTCTTGGCTATGTGGGCTCTTTTTTTGTTCCATAAGAAATTTAAAGTAGTTTTTTCTAATTCTGTGAAGAAATTCAGTGGTAGCTTGAAGGGGATAGCATTGAATCTGTAAATTACTTTGGGCAGTATGGCCATTTTCACGATACTGATTCTTTCTATCCATGAACATGCAGTGTTTTTCCATTTGTTTGGCTCTTATTTCCTTGAGCAGTGGTTTGTAGTTCTCCTTGAAGAGATCCTTTACACCCCTTGTTAGTTGTATTCATAGGTATTTTATTCTCTTTGTAGCAATTGGGAATGGGTGTTCACTTATGATTTAGCTTTCTGGTTGTCTGTTAACTGTTATGTAATGCCCTTCTTTGTCTTTTTTGATGTTCATTGGTTTAAAGTCTATTTTATCAGCTACTAGGATTGCAATCCCTGCTTTTTATTTGCTTTCCATTTGCTTGGTGAATATTCCTCCACCCGTTTATTTTGAGCCTACGTGTGTCTTTGCACATAAGATGGGTCTCCTGAATACAGCACATGAATGGGTCTTGACTCTTTATCCAGTTTGCCAGTCTGTATCTTTTAATTAGGACATTTTGCCCATTTACATTTACTATCATTTTACTATCATTTACTATTTAATACTATATATAATACTATTTACTATTTTAATATTTACTATTTACTATCATTTTAATTAGGACATTTAATTAGGACATTTTGCCCGTTTACATTTAAGGTGTGAATTGTTAGGTGTGAATTTGATTCTGCCATTTTGATGCTAGCTGGTTATTTTGCCCATTAGTTAATGCAGTTTCTTCATATTGTTGATGGTCTTTACAATTTGATATTTTTTTGCAGTGGCTGGTACCAGTTTTTCCTTTCCATATTTAGTGCCTCCTTCAGGAGCTCTTATAAGGCAGGCCTGGTGGTGACAAAACCTCTCAGCATTTGCATATCTGTAAAGGATTTTCTTTCTTCTTTGCTTATGAAGCTTAGTTTGGCTGGATATGAAATTCTGGATAGAAACTTTTTTAAGAATGTTGAATATTGACCCCTACTTTCTTCTGGCCTGTAGGGTTTCTGCAGAAAGACCTGCTGTGAGTCTGATAGGCTTCCCTTTGTAGGTAACCTGATATTTCTCTCTGGCTGCCCTTAACATTTTTTCCTTCAGTTCAACCCTTGTGAATCTGATGATTAGCATCTTGGTGTTGTGCTTCTCAAGGAGTATCTTTGTGGTATTCTCTGTATTTCCTGAATTTGAATGTTGGCCTGTCCTGCTTGGTTGGGGCAGTTCTCCTGGATAATATCCTGAAGAGTGTTTTCCAACTTGGTTTTATTTCTCCATCATTTTCAGGTACACTGCCTTCTGTGTTGATCTCACTGGGACCTACAGACCAGAGCTCTTCCTATTCAGCCATCTTGCCAGCCTCCTCCTATTTCTTTTTACTGATCTGTTATTTCTCTTGCTGATCTGAGGTGCTACCTTTGTAATATATTGTTTGCTTATATACTGATGTTTAATTTTGCTTTTTGCTATTGTGAGTGGGATTTTTTTTCTCATTATTTTTTCAAACTGCTATTACTGATACATAGATAAGCTAAAAATTGTTGTTAACCAGTCATTTTATACAGTTCTCTTTTTCAGGTGATCTGTTGGGCTTTTGAGGCAGATAATTTTATATTCCAAGATGATAATTTTTTCTAATAGTGTGTGCTTCTAACTGCATTGTTCTGAACTTCCAGCATGATGTTCAACGATAGAGTGATAGCAAATATCCTTGTCTTGTTCCTCACTTAATAGTGACCACCATGTTTGTTTGCTTTTCCTAGATCTCTCTACTTTAGTTAGAAGATGCCCCAATCTTGTCCACCTAGACTTAAGGTATTTTTTAATTTGTTTATTTTAGATCAAAAGTTGAAAATTTTTGATTTCTCATTTAATGGAGAAAGGATTCTAATGTTGAATTGAAGGAACTAAGAAGTGGGTTATTTCTGTCTTTATCTAGGATCAGTGTGTGATTTTCAATATTTTTTTTTCTGCTCTCTTACAGTGATAGTATCATGCTAAAGAATGACTGTTTCCCGGAATTTTTCCAGCTCAGCTACCTCCAACACCTGTCTCTCAGTCGGTGCTATGATATAATACCTGAAACTTTACTGTAAGTATGTTTTGTTTTTAATGCTTAATAGAAGGCAGGAAACAACAGAGCTGCCCCTTGGTGTGAAAAATCCATTATTATTAATAGACATGTGAAACTGAAACATTAGTGATTACTATAGCACAGACTGGCTATGAAAGACTAGCAGAGTGTTGCTTAAACTGTCTGGAGAAATTGAGTTGATTCAAATGGTTCACTAAACATTTATTGTTTAGCTGTAAGCAGTTTTAATGAGTAGCCTGCTGTCTTAGTATCTGTGAGAAGAATTAGCAAAGAAGCAGAAGATAACCTTTTCCTCCAGGAAACTCAGACTATATTAGGAAGGCAGACTCAATGTGGGTGTCTTATTTTCTTCCCAATTTTTTCGGATTAACTCCAGTTGAGGTTTTCATCTAGGCTTAAAATTCTGTATCTTCTCCTGATCTATGTCCTGGATAGTCAAGGAATAGGAAGGATATAAGCCTGTAGATGGTATGCATTGTAAGTCTGATGCTGTTTTGAACAGGGTTGTGTTAAGGTCTAAAAAGTGAAGTGACTTATTCAAGCCTTATGGTGAGTTGGTGGCTGACCTGGGTCTAAATCCTAGGTCTCCTAGGCAGAAGCAAAATAATCACTATCTAATTCAGTAGTTCACACAAGGGTTAGTTTTACCTGCTCAGCAACTTCCACGGAATCAAGGGAGTGCAAGAAAGAAGCAGCCTGGTCTATCTTTCCTTTGGGAAGCACCATACCCAACTCATCCTGAAAATCGTATTTTTATTGTTTTAAAAGGTTTCCTGTATTTCATCCCTAAGGGCTGGAAGAGTCTTCCCTAATGGCAAATGTAAATTTGTAGCAATTTTATTGAAAACCACAAGAGGTCAGTAGAGTAGGTCAGGTGCCCAACATGCCCTCAGTGTGGCTGCTGGACTCATTTATGTAGCTCGCTATTTAAATGATGGTTAATTTAGCTTCCAGCTCCTACCTAGGAACAGTGGTGAATTTGAACAAAGAATTTTAGTCCCCAGAATCAGACTGGATCTTTTAAGTTAGTTTCAAGAATTAATGAATAAATCTGATACCTCAGCTATACAGTTAGCTAGTAGAATTAGGAAATCTGGCAATTATGCGTTTTAATTAATCATTTTAATTAATTTTGGGGTTCAGGGTCTGAGCTGGTATCTCGTTTGGGAAAGGACTTCCTAAAATAGGATGGTAGGATTTACTTTCCCAGCTCTCAAATGTTGGGGTTTAAATTCATGTGCATAAAACTTATTGAAATCCCTGCCCTCTCTATTTTCTGGCATCCAGAACTCCTAGGAGCTTCTAGCATCTATCCAAAAAGGTTTCTCTGTCATCCATTCTTTCCTGTCCTTGTCATCTGGGCTCCTGTTTCTTTGCATGTGCAACCCCCTGGGAGTGTGGTGATAATTCTTTTTGGGTTGCTTTTCTTAAGAGAATCTATCCATGTGTCTTGCTTTTGTTCCTTCTCTGCAGAAAGAAAGAAGCTAAGCAGGTAATAACCCAAATGCTTTTTCTCAAGCAGAGCCAAGGGGAAGGCTGTGAGCTTTTCATTTTAGTATTTTTATCCAGTGGGATAATAGTGATAGTAATTGTGATACCTGCATAATAATTGCATGGTAATACCTGGAGGCAGTGTGAATTGATGTTTACAAACATGGGCCTGAAGTCACAGAACTAGTTGTGAACCTTCACTGCATTATTATTTCTTTTATGTACAAACCTTATGAAATAAAAGGAACAGGGACATTAGGAGTTTAGTTACAAGTCAGACCACTAGAATAGAGAAGAAGAAAGATCCTGTCCTTGAAATTTAAGGTTAAAGAATCTATTTCTTTGGGCGTTGTATAAATTGTACACTGATTTGCATTGTGAATTCTTAAGATGAGTTTGTTGATACTTAAAAGTTTCTCAAGATAAAATGAGAATTAGAATGACTCTAATTTCAATCATTTTGGCCACTGATATATTTGAGATTTATAATGAAAATTCCAGGACGCTTCCGTAAGAATTTCCAGAGAACCATCTATGCTAAAGAACTTAAGGCTATTTATTTCTCAGAAAGTGGGAAAATACAATTTGAATGTCTTACTTCTGTAGTAATGTTTTTAAAATAGTTGAGAAACCGTACGTTTTTCTTCTTCCCCAGGACCTTTCCCATTGTATTTATTCCCTTCTTAATTGGTCTTCTCCTCTGTGTCTAAACTTCCTTCTAATTCTTCCCTATTTCTCATTCAAGTAAGAAACCCAAGCTGGAGGTAGTAAACTAATCTAAGATTACAGAAGACTAAAAGACTTCTGTGGTAGGAGCATTTGTAGTTGAGGCCTTTAAGATTTTATAAATAAAACAAGATTATCATATAGATGAGGTAAGGAACAATCCTGTGAAAGAGTTCATAAATATCTTTTATTTTCTAAAATTCAAGATACAGAAGACATTGGTGTCATTTTATACTTCTTACATTAGAAATAATGGCTCTTGAACTACTTATTTCTATTTGCTATCCCTTAGTTTGCTCTTCAGTCTCTTCCATTGTAGTTTTTAAAAAATGCTTGCAAAGTTTTTATTCTGAGTTGTAGGTAATGGTACATACCAGGAGGTATTTTTGTTTTTTTCTCTTCTCCTTAAAATTTTAGAGACCTTCTGGATTTTTTACTTGGGAACTGGTTCTTCATCCATCATCTTATCTTATATAAGCCCCTTCTTATATATAACACTCTAGTGTGTTCTGAGAGTCTGCTCTTAATTTCTTTCCTCACCAAATCTCTTTCCCAACGCTGTTGCAAGAACATTCCCTCCTCTGCCATCTGCCATTCCTCCTTTTCTTACTCCCTCCTACAGTTTCTTCCTTTAAATATTCTCCAATGCAGAATGGCTCACAATTTGGCTAATTTGGATATCCCAGAACCAGAATTCTCATAACAACATTTCTCAAATTTCATATGAGGGATTCAAAGTTGGAGCTGGATTGCTGTCATTGTAAGTGATAAGTATAAACATCTGTGTATTGTGATCTTACTTTGATACTGTTTCTACATTCCAGAAAGCAGTTTACTTAAAGAATGACAGCAATTTGTTCTTTCTGATTTTCTTTGGTTGTACCTTTAGATCTTATTGTCCCCTTGTGAACAAGTATATTTATTTCATTTGGAGTGCTTTTATTTCATAAATTAGCCTTCATCTTGTACTCAGCTAACGTATAATAAACATTTATGGGGTTTAAGACACCTTGTGGAATGTAAAATAAATATATTTAGGGGAGTAGTGGGAAGACTGGAAGAGCAGGTTAAACACAGAAGGTCTTCAGGCTAGCTGAACAGCCTGGGTTCTGTAAACACAAGGGAAGCATCCAAGGTTTTGGAGCAGATGAATGACTAATCTAAGCTAGGCTTTAGGAGGATGCCTCGGAAATTGGTATATAGAATAGGCCAGAAAGAAGAAAGACTGAAGGTCAGGTGACAGTTATTGTAAGGAAAGTTTGGGGCTTTTTAAAACGTAATTACTGACAATGTGAAAATATAAAGGATGTTTCTGACTCTAGGTCATTGATGTGTTCATTGACCTGTGGTAGGATTTTGTTGAAATTCCAAAATAAATGTTTTCTTTCCCAAGACTTTGTACTGTGTGTCCCAACCTTCGGCAAATACAGATCAGAGAGATGAATTTCTAGGCACATAGATCTCAGTTAAGAAGAAAAAAATCATTACCAACACCAAACAGTGTTTAGTTCGCAGAAATAGGTTCCCTTTTTTGTAAAACAGAGTTTCAGTTAACAGAGTTGAATTTCATCTAATGTGAAATACCTAAAGGGACTGGCTTATCTATGCAGAAAAAAATGATAATATGTAGAGAGGTAAGATGGCTATTGCCTCCTATAAAGGATGTGATTTTTCACCCATGTCTTCCACCTGTACCCAACTACATAACCCTATCTAAAGTATCTTAGGGAAGTCAGTGGTAGTTTTCATCACACAGAATGGACTTGTTGACTATGAACCGTTATTAAGAAGTTCATGAATCCTGCCAACATCTCCTTTTGAGAGATGAGCCTAGTTCACATAAAGGTTAAGCTCATATCCTTAATTTGCATGTAACCTATGGTGGTTGCAACTGGCACCACAGTAAAACATTTGCTTTTTACCATCACTAGCTTGCTAGTTTCTTCTCACAACACAGTAACCCCATTCAGATCACTGTATAAATCACAGCTGGAGAAAGAAAGCAAATATGGTTGGATTTTAAATAAACCTGAGTTTCTAAGGTTATTAGGAACTTCATTCAATAAAATGCACCAGTGCATTTCCTAAAACCATGTGGCTCAAGCTATGTGGTCTGTGCTTTCCAGTTTAATTTGCTATTTTCTCAAGTCATTTATTATAAATTTTATTTTCAGACTGCATTTTGTAGATGATACAAATTGTAAAGTTTGGGTCATATAACTCTAGTCAATTTCCATAGATACTGCTATTCTAAAAGTCTTTTCTTCCTTTCCAGTGAACTTGGAGAAATTCCCACACTAAAAACACTACAAGTTTTTGGAATTGTGCCAGATGGTACCCTTCAACTGTTAAAGGAAGCCCTTCCTCATCTACAGATTAATTGCTCCCATTTCACCACCATTGCCAGGCCAACTATTGACAACCAAAAGAACCAGGAGATATGGGGCATCAAATGCCGACTGACCCTGCAAAAGCCCAGTTGTCTGTGAAACATTTATTACAGGATGGTGTCTCTTCTTTAGAACAGGGAAAGTAGGCAGGAAGCCCAATTGATGGAGTACTTAGCTAGTTTTATTCTTGGTTTTCCCTTTGCCCTTTGCCTTCATTCTGCAAGTATATTAGGGAACCATTTGAGAGGGAAAACTATGAAATCTTGCTTTTTGAAATGATTCTAAAAGCTTCTATCACTGCTTTGCTCTTAAGAGCCAAAGTTGTAGGCCTTTTAAAATTTTGGGAGAGTGAGCCTATAATTTCAAGGTACCTTAAAGAGCAAAATTTGAGCCACCTTTTTTCAAGTGCCCTTCTTATTAAGTCTATTCAGAATCAAGCTTAAAAATTACCACCAGCAAACAATCTTCATAGCTTATATAACTTTTATCTATTTAATTTTATAGTACTGCTTTATAAGACAGCTTAGAAGAATAATAAGCTATTTGTATTATGAGCTGAACAAAAAGAGAATCATAGGATAGTAGCATATGAGGCCATTGAGGAAGAGAAAAATGCATTTTAATTTTGCCTTTAGATTTGAAATTATGTTAATAGAAATTAGTAGCCACTTAATTCACCTTAAAACTTACAAAAGACCAAACATTACAAAAACCAGAAGTATAATGAAGGCCCAGGAGACAGCTTTCTACGACAGGTTAATTTGAAGTATCTCATAATGTTCATTAAGTGACTGTGTTTCTAGAATTCTAAATTAGATGAGAAATATAATTGTTTTCTAACTTGATAATCAAATTATGTGAACATGGGTCCTTAAGATTTTAAAATGACTTGCTTTGTTTTAGAAAGGTGCTATTAATCTAGTCTTTATTCTTGAACATTTGGATGGAAGAATTCTGAAGTTGCCTGCTGTTTCCCTTTAGCGCTGAGGTTCTTAAGGTTACTTTTATATTCTAAAATCAAGTATTTTAAATTGTCTTTTTTTTTTAAATGATCTCTCACCAATAATTGTTTGAAAGTATTTATAAGGGTATCAGACCTAAAGTCCAAGGAACTGCACTCCCTTCAATCAGAAATATACAATAGAAGCAGGTATATGTTTCATGCAGTTTCAGTAGTATGCACTACTTATACCTACATAAGAGTTACAATTCAGATGTGGGACCTTTTGATACCATCAGTGATATTTTTTTAAAACTGATATACTTAGAAGTGAAAAGATTAAATTCTATTTCTTAAAAATCACAAAAAACTAGTTTAAATGGACTTCTTCGTATGTTCAAATTGTAACACCAAGAAAAGCCAAAACCTGTCATTTGTATTAACTTTTTTTTAATCAAAAATTGTTAACGTTAGAAACATAGTATGAAGTGCCTTTATCTGCTTAGACCTAAGGAAGATTTTAAAGTTGGGTTACACAGGAAATGATTATGTTTAAATTTCTTAGTAAACAGTGCTAAATACTACTTGAAATTATTGTTTACAGATTAGTGACAAGAGCTGGGGTTAGGATTCAGTTGGACTCTGACATCCAGATACCCTCAAACATACAGAACTTCCAAACTCAAGTCCAGCCATAAGCTATTTTGCCAACATGTCAGAGTAATCTGTATTTTTGTATGTGATTTCTACTTTTATAGACTTGTTTTAAAATAAAATACATTTTTATAAAAATGAGTACTTAAGCTAAGTTGTATTCCTTTTTTCTCTCATTTTAAGTACTGTGATTAAAATTTGAAAGCATTTAGTGTGGTGTGCCACAGAGACCTCTAAATAATAACCTTCAAAACAGCCCTGGGATGGTCCTTTTTGACCCATCTACTTTATATGCTTGTCACATTCAAAAAAATGAGTTTATAATGCCTTTTGAAAAGGAGCTAATACAGGCTCATTATCTTTAAAGTGCATCCAGTAGTAATGTATCTACAAAGCACTTGAATTCAAGTGACAAAGGTGAAATTCAAGTACTATCAATAAAAGTCAACTAGTAGCAGTTTTCAAATATATTTGATCAGGTTATGCTATGTGTTTTACTGTCATTCAGAAACTATTTGAATGTTCATTGTGTGCCCAGAGGTCTTCCAAGAATTCTATTCCTTTTTAACCTTTCCATTCGAATGGTAGGATGGTGATTCCTTTTACATTAGCACTGTTATGCCTTTTTTGTTTTTAATGATGAAAAACATCAAATATGTTTAAAAAAAAAAAAAGATGATGAACCCCATCATCCAATTTCAACTATCATTGACTCCTGACCAATCTCACTTTATCCATGATCTCAACCATTCCCCTCCAATACAGGTAATTTTGGAGCAAAACCCAGACCCATAATTTCCTATTTCAGTATAGACCTCTAAAACATAGGGATTCTCCTGCATGAATCCTGAAGCATTATATATCAAGATGATATTGAAAAATCCTCAATTCTTCAATGGGTTTATTTTGCTCAAAACCTAAACATGGTGTACACATTGCATTTGATTTAAATTCTCTAAATCTTAACCTTAGGATTTCTTCCTTTCCTTGTAATTTATGTATTGAAGAAACTATGTTATCTGTCCTGTGTTCCACATTCTGGATTTTGCATCTATCCCTAGAGTGATAGGTTAATCTGTCCCCTATTTCCATAAACTCGTAGTTAGATCTAGCAACAAAAGCTCTAGACCAGGGGTGACTTCCCCCAACCCAGGAGATACTTGGTAACATCTGAAGACATTTTTGCTGATCACAAGAGAAGTGCTATTGGCATATAGGCAATAGAGGCTAAGGATGATGCTAACCTTCCTAAAACAGAACAGCCCCCCAACAACAAAGAATTGCTTGGACAAAACATCAATAGTGTCAATGTTGAGAAACTGCTCCAGAGGCTTGTATCATTAAATTCTTTCTTTCAGCAAGGAGACACTTGGTAAGTAATCTGTTTTTCTATTCAGAGACATACCTGTGTCTCGTTTTCACTGCTGCCACTTTACCTCCTCTTGGGCTCTTGATTCCTCTCTAATAGACCCTATCCACAAGCTCCAGAGACATGAGAGACACTGGCCAAGTGCAAAACTTTGTCTGCATAGAGTGCTTTTTAAACCTGGTGAACCCAATTACACTTCAACATTTATTGACCATCTACAATGTGCAGGATACTGTGTATAAATAGCACAGGGGAAGATGCAGAGCCTATAAGGAAAGAAAGGCAAGTAGTCTAGAGACCGGACAAACTAGATAGAAACCTCTTATTGCATACCCTAACCAAGGAACAAGCAAAAAGGCAACTTCCTCTTTCTTTACTTTTCTTCCCCACCTAGCCAAATATCCCAGAAAGTCGAAGGTTTCTTCACCGAGAGACTATAACCCTTCCAGATACAGGTCAAAGCCCTAAAAGCCTGTACTACTTTTATGTATAACTCAAAATATAACTGCTTAATGTTTTAGCAGATCTAAATATTAAAATGCTGATATTTTTACATTTCTCTAAATACCAGAATATCTAAATTGTAATTTTGAGCATCAAAATCACTGTATTTAAGGTATTCATATTAACTTAAAATATGCTTTTCTACTTTTTAATCTCTAGCTTTAGTCAGTGATTTTTCTTAAAAAAAAGTCTTAAATCCTGTAAAACTTAAAAACTTTTCATACCTTTCTTGTAGAAACTTTAATAAGCCTTGTCACTGACTTATGCCCTAATCCCCTGCATATTTTTCAGTCAAGAATAAACTGCCTTTGACAAAATAAAACTGAACTATTCTTTAGCAATTCATTAGTACATTTACTCTTATCTTCCCACCATTTTATTTAGGTGTTGCAATATCCCTGGAATTTTTTTGCACAATTGTCTTGGCAGATGCTGTTCTTAAGTATAAGGATACATAAGTAATATTGGTACAATGGAGACAGAGAGACCCAAGATGGCTGACTAGCACCAGCTCAGGATTGCAGCTCTCAGTGAAGGTGCAGGGAGTGAGTGGACGTCAGACTTCTATTCAAGTTTTTGTTACTCATGGACCAGGAGATTCCCAGCAGAGGAACCCCATGGGTCGCCAGCACGACTCTTTTGGCCGGTGCAGCTGTTTTAGCCGGCATCCTGGCGTGGTAGTTCTCAGTGTAGTGTGCGGGACTGGGTGCCCTTTTGGTGGTGTTTGGAGTTCCGGGAAGGCAGAGTCACCCATTCAGCTGATTGAAAGGGGGACTGAAGCAGGGAGCCAGAACGGGAGATGCCCCGGCAGAAGAGTGCCAAGAATCTCAGCGCTGCTGTTTCAACCGGCGCAGTCACCACACGGGAAACTGCACAGATGTCTGGGCCTTTTTGGTGGGCGACTGGGGCACCTGGGAAAGAATCGACTGTTCAATTAGGAAAAGAGAAAAAGGTGGCTCCGAGGTGGGGAGCCAGGTGATCAGGCTCGGCTGGTCCCACCCCCACAAAAAAAACAGCAATTGGAAACACTGATGGTTGAGTTTCACAGCAAGCACAGCTGAACCTGGGAAGGTCCAGCTCTGTGGGGGGTGGCATCCACCAAAGGAAAACAAACAAATAACATCACCACTGACAAGCTGGACGTCCACTCAGAGACCCAATCTGAAAGTCAGCAATTACAAAGATGACAGGTGGATAAATCCACAAAGATGGGAAGAAACCAGTGCAAAAAGGCTGAAAACACCCGAAATCAGAATGCCTCTCCTCCTTCAGGGGATCACAGTTCATCAGCAAGGGAACAAGGCCTGATGGAGAATGAGTGTGATGAATTGTCAGAATCAGGCTTCAGAAGGTGGATAATAAGAAACCTCTGTGAGCTAAAAGAACATGTTCTAACCCAATGCAAAGAAACTAAGAACCTTGAAAAAAGTTTGACAAAATGCTAATGAGAATAGACAACTTAGAGAGGAATATACGTGAATTAATGGAGCTGAAAAACACAATACGAGAACTTTGCGAAGTATGCACAAGTTTTAACAGTCGAATTGACCAAGCAGAAGAAAGGATATCAGAGGTCAAAGACAATAAAATAAAACAAGAAGATTAGAGAAAAAAGGGTAAAAAGGAATGAGCAAAGTCTCCAAGAAATATGGGACTATGTGAAAAGACCTAATCTACATTTGACAGGTGTACCTGAATGTGACAAAGAGAATGAATCCAAGCTGGAAAATATTCCTCAGGATATTATTCAGGAAAACTTTCCCAACCTAGCAAGGCAGAACAATATTCAACTCCAGGTAATACAGAGAATACCACAAAGATATTCCTCAAGAAGAGCAACCCCAAGGCACATAATCGTCAGATTCACCAGGGTTGAAATGAAGGAGAAAATGATAAGGGCAGCCAGAGAGAAAGGTCAGGTTACCCACAAAGGGAAGCCTATCAGACTCACAGCAGATCTCTCAGCAGAAACCCTACAAGCCAGAAGAGAGTGGGGGCCAATATTTAACATCCTTAAAGAAAAGAACTTTCAACCCAGAATTTCATATCCAGCCAAACTAAGCTTCATAAGTGAAGGAAAAATAAAATCTTTTGTAAATAAGCAAGTACTCAGAGATTTCATCACCACCAGGCCTGCTTTACAAGAGCTTCTGAAATATGTCAGAAGCACTACACATAGAAAGGAACAACCAGTATCAGCCATTCCAAAAATATACCAAAAGGTAAAGAGCATCAACATAATGAAGAATCTACATCAACTAATAGACAAAACAGCCAGCTAGCCTTAAATGACAGTATTAAACTCACATATATTAATATTAATCCTAAATCTAAATCGACTAAATGTCCCAGTCAAAAGACACAGACAGGCAAATTGGATAAAAAGCCAAAACACATCGGTATGCAGCATCCAGACCCATCTCACATGCAAGGATACACAAAGACTCAAAGGGATGGAGGAAGATTTACCAACCAAATGGAGAGCAAAAAAATGTAAAAACAAAAAGCAGGAGTTGCAATCCTTGCCTCTGATAAAATAGACTTTAAAGCAACAAAGATCAAAAGAGGCAAAGCAGGACATTACATAATGGTAAAAGGATCAATGCAACAAGAAGAGCTAACGATCCTAAATACATATGCACCCAGTACAGGAGCACCCAGATACATAAGGCAAGTTCTTAATGACTTACAAAGAGACTTAGACTCCCACACAATAATAGTGGGAGACTTTAACATCACATTGTCAATATTAGACAGATCAATGAGACAGAAAATTAACAAGGATATCTAGGACTTGAACTCAGACATGGAACAAGTAAACTTAATAAACATTTACAGAACTCTCCACCCCAAATCCACAAAACATACATTCTTCTCAGTACCACATCACACCTACTCTAAAAGTGACTACATAATTGGAAGTAAATCACTCCTCAGTAATTGCATAGCATTTCACAGGTTTAAATGAAATATTGGTTGGCTGCTTGTTTATTTTCCTCCCTTATTCCTTCCTGTCTCCATTGTTAAGCACAATTCTTGGCATAAAAGAGGTTTTTAATACCCATTTTCAGACTGCATTCTAGCCTGGGCAATAAAGCAATACTCCTGTTCTCGCTCCCTCTTTCTCTTCCTCTTTCTATCTTCTATTCTTTTTTTCCTTTCTTTCTCTTTCTTTTTTTCTTTCTAAAAACAAACAAACAAAAACTATTGGTACAATGGAATGAATTTAACTGATTTAAATTCTAAATGTACATTATTTTTACAACTGAGCAATATATAATGTATCAAACTTGTATTTGACAACTTTTTCAACTCAAGTAAACATTTTACAATAAAAATGTGTTAGCTGGCTCTTTCTGCTTATTAAAAAGTGAAATCAATGTAGTAAAACATGTAATATGACTTAATGTATAGGAGCCATGAATGTAAATATGCAATGAGCATCAAAAATACTAAGTCAAAATTATCTGAAGAGCCTACATTGACAGGTAAGCACTTCATCCTCTGATTTAATAACTAATCATTCTATGTCAAATGTCAACAGTGAATGAAGTCAACAGGGCACAGAATAATGCACAGCAGTGGGGAAACATTTCTGAAACATAACACTTTGTATAAACTAGTTTTCAAATAATGACCCCTTAAGAGTTAAGGAAATAAGAAATGTTAAAAAGAAGAGGTAACAGTGGTGTAATTTTATTCACATAGGGTTACCATTAAAAGTTAACTCACTCAAAAATATTTTTGCTATGCTAACATCCTTTGCCTCTCATTCTTACAAATAAATCCCCACCAAAAGCAGAAATGTTAGAAATTATATCACAAATGAAGCACATTATTTTTAAAACTTTTTGAAATATGGCTTATAATATTACACATCAAGTTATCTATTAATATGTTACATATTAACAGATCTGTTTGGACAATCAGATTTCCTTGAGATTAAGGATGGAGTTGGCATTTTTTCTTTAAGAAGGTATTTTAAGCCTGTTAGGGGAGCTTCTATAGTGTGGAGCTTTTTTATAAAGTGGTATTCTTATGTATATCATTAAAACAAACAAACAAACAAAATCAAGCCAGAAACTAGATCTAGCTCTGGGAAAACAATAAATTTTAATTTATTTCTACCTGATATGTCATAAATTCTTTGCTATGAATGTCTACGCAGATACTTTAGGAAAAATTGATTCTTCTGGATACACATCAAAATCTGATTAACTTTGTACATTAACATTTATTTTTAAAAATTGATAAGAATGGCTGGGCGCGGTGGCTCACACCTGTAATCCCAGCACTTTGGGAGGCTGAGGCGTGTGGATCACGAGGTCAAGAGATCGAGACCATCCTGGTCAACATGGTGAAACCCCGTCTCTACTAAAAATACAAAAAATTAGCTGGGCATGGTAGCGCGTGCCTGTAATCCCAGCTACTCAGGAGGCTGAGGCAGGAGAATTGCCTGAACCCAGGAGGCAGCGGTTGTGGTGAGCCGAGATCCCGCCATTGCACTCCAGACTGGGTAACAAGAACGAAACTCTGTCTCAAAAAAAAAAAAAAAAAAAAAAAAAAAAAAAAAAAATGATAAGAACATGTTAAATACTGGCAAAACTAAAAGGACTCAATTTGACTATCCATCTAGCTTTTACATTATTTACTTCTGAGCCCACGAGACTCAAATTGCATAAGGATAGAGTCTTTCATTTATCAACATATCCAGCACATGGTACAGAGTGGGTAATCAATAAATAGTTGTCAATGATTGAACAGCAATTTTCAGCAGCAAATGAAAGAAACACATGACTGAACAATGGCACAAGAATACCAACTGTTTCATTATGCAATGACAGGATCTTCTGGCAAAAATTCTAGGATTACTTATAAGTAGATCAAGAATTAGATAACAATTTCCTCCAAAAATAAATTCTCATAATGAGAAAAAAAAAAAAGCCTTAACATTTTATCCTAAAAGCTATTCTGTAAAACTTGGAATATAAGCTAGGTGAAAACCACAATACTAAGAAGGCAATTCCAAAATTATTGTGTTTTACATATTTATTAAAGAATCCATTCTTATAATACTCCTAACAGGTGAAAATATTTTTACAATATTTTACCAAACTCCTAATAGAAAATGTCTTATCAGTTTATCCTTTTAGTCCCTGAATCCATGTTTAAGCATTTTAAAGATGGAAGAAACCTGTAAGAATCATATTATTTTTTAAAAATTGACTTAAAACACTTACTGGATTACTAACACATTTGTAACAGTATCATGATTTGTTCTGATATATGTATTTCACCCAGCACTGCTGAAATTAAACAGAATGAAAGTCAAAAGCATTCATCTATAATTTCAAAAATGATTGTTTGAAATTTTTAAATCAATAGAGTCATAACATCATTATGTTCTGAAATTAGAAAATTCTTAGCACATATACAAACCCATTTACCTATTTCAATTAGGTCAGTGTCAGGATTTATCAAAATTTTTTCAAAATCTTTATTTTCAGGTACTATAAAAAATATGCACTAATCAAATGATATGTGTTCAGTTCTGACAATTCCACAATTAGGAGGAAAGGAAGGAAAAAACACTTATACAGTTAAATTTCAAATCCTAAATATTTAGTCCTTTATTTAAACCTGGCCCTCTAAATTTAAAAAGATATCAGTACTCTTGGTTACCGACTGTAAGCAATATAAAAATTTCACTGGTATCAATTCTAATTAGTTCAGTCCATCCATTTTCTTATACCGTGAATGTCTTTTTTCTATCAGAATTCAACAGAAGAATAATGCAAATCTCACTTCTGAGCCCACAGGCAAGCAGTCTCAACAATAACCAAAAAAATTTCACTTTATGATTGGCAGTCTGTTTCTGAAGTAAAAATATTTTCTCCAGTAATCATTTGTCATGAGGAAATCCTTCACTGTTCTAGAAGCACAGTTCGAAGCTCATCTTCTTTATTGATCATCATTGAAGCAATTGCACCATCATTAAACTCAAAAGAAGTTCCTCCATCCACAACCATACAGGCGTCCCAACAACGAGAACGGACACAAACCCTAGGTAAAAGGAAATATCTCATTAAAAAGTAATAATTTTCTTAATCTTAAGTAATAGATTGTTTTAATCCTGAATTTTAACCTAACCTAGCAGATCATCTGGCTTCCATTTTAAAAAGTTGTTCTCTGGTATGAGAAAATTAGTGACTGTGTAAATACAGGTATATTATAAAGATCTCGAAATGTAAATGTTCATATGATTGTATGTTGAATTACTAACATTACAAATATTTTAAGTATTGAACAAGAGTGTTAACTATTTTCATGTAAAATTTTTACTTAAGTATACACATATACAGAAGAGTTGGGTATATATAATTATGTGTAGAGGTATAAACCCAAATTATTAATGTACAGTTCAATGTACACACTTATGTAATGATCACCCAACTCAGGAATCAACTGTTACCCAGCTTGCTGGAAGCTCCCTCACTGCCCTGTCCCAGTCTCTATCCCTGCTCCCTCCTCCAGCATACCCTTCTAATTTCTATCACTTTGTAGTAATAGCTTCCTAATTTCGATCACTGTTGTAGTAATAGCTTTGTCTGTTCTTGGACTTTATATAAATGGAAGAATATAATATGCACAGTGGTGTCTGTCTTCTTTTGCTCAATAGTATGTTTGTGAAATTCATCTATGTTATTACATGTAGTAGTAGTGTAGTGTGTTCATTTTTAATGCCATATGTAAACACTTCTATTGTATGAAAACACCAAAATTTATGTCTCTCCTACTATTCACGGACATTTGGATTTTTGTCTATTGGCAGTACAGCTGCTATGAATATTCTTGAATGTTTCTGTGCACATCTTTCTGTTGGTGCATATATTTCTGTTGGATATATATCTCAAAGGGGAATTAGTGGGTCACCGTGTATGCTATGTTCCGGTTTGCTAGGTAATTGCCAAACAATTTTCCAAGCTATATATTCCTAAGAAAAATTATATGAAAGTTGTAGTTACTACTCCTTGCCAACAATTGGTACCCTAGCCATTCTGGTGGGTATATATGGCATGGTATTATGTAGTTTTAATTAGCATTTCTCAGGTGAATCATAAGGTCAATCATCTTTTTCATATGTTTATTAGCCATCTGAATATTACCTTTTGTGAAATACCTGACGTTGGCCATTTTTCTATCATGTTGCCTGTCTTTTTCTTATTGTAGGAATTTTTATATGCTAAATATTCTGGCTATGAGCCCACTGTTGGATATAGGTCCTGAAAATATCTTTCTCACTCTGCCTTTTTTTTTTCTCCTTAATCGTATCTTTTGATTACTGGCAGTTCTTAATTCTAGCGTAGTTCAATATGTCAATCTTTTGTTGTTATAGTGCTTTTTATTGCCCAGGCTGTAGTGCAGTGGTGCTATCTCGGCTCACTGCAATCTCCACCTCCTGAGTTCAAGCAATTCTCCTGCCTCAGCCTCCCGAGTAGGTGGGACTACAGGCGTGCATCACCACACCCAGCTAATTTTTTTTTTTTTTTTTGTATTTTTAGTAGGGACAGAGTTTTGCCATGTTGGCCAGGACGGTCTTGATTTCCTGACCTCGTGTTCCACCTGCCTCGGCCTCCCAAAGTGTTGGGATTACAGGTGTAAGCCACTGTGCCCAGCCACAAAAATTTAAATATAAATAGTATATTTATATTGAAGACTCCTTTGAAGGAGTCTTTGTAGTCTCACTTAAACTGAGTACACATCTGTGGATTAATTAAAATTAACTCTCAAATGACAACATGAATTTTAAGATAAAGTTTCTCATTTGTGACAAACCTGGGGAAAAATGTATGTTTATAAAAAGAAAACATGTACACTAAGGTCAGCAATTTCTAATTGCTCAAATCGTTTTCTCCTTGCCATGAGAGAGATGACATTTTCTCGGAATTACAGATTTTCTTGTTAATTTGGAAAACTTATCTTTACAAAATAAGAATTACATCCATTTTTTTATATCCTGTCTCCTCAAAAGTGAAATGAAACAAATTCAATAGGTGGGAGGTCACTTTTAGGGAAAACCTAAAAGAAATAAATATTATTCTAAAGGTGTATTGCTATGCAATCTAAGTTTTCTGTGTTCATCTTGTTTTTATATACAGCTTATGAAAAAGAAGTGGCTTCTTTTACAGCCCCTTCATCTTCTTTTACAATCATCGTGTCTTGGTTCATTTTTTAAAAACCAACAAATCACTGAAATAACTGTACCCTTTATAGTCACTTAAGTTTTAGCTTCTCTAAAATGGCACAATAAGTGTAAAAGAAAATATGATTTTAGCCAGGTTAGCGTGATACCTTGTTACTTTCCCAGGTTCTATGTTTCCTGCTAGATTAAGTTTGAACGAGAAAATTTAATGAAATTATATATTTTTCCAGCCAAGTGTGCTTAGTAGCAATGAAAGGGATGAAAACAGTCACAAGTCAGACCAAGGATGCTTACTTTGAGGAGAAACAACGCTGACGACTGCTTGAGAAAACTCTATTTGCTATTGGTTCTCGAATACTGAAAAGTATTTTTGGTTCTTCCGGACTGTAGAGCAGTGATTCGTTATATTCATTTGTTACTTCAAACAACAAAAAAATATATATTAGCACATTCAATAAAAGATGGTCACTTCTGAGAAGTGCAGAACAAAAAATAATAGATGCCATGCCCCATTTAAAATTAATTATGTTCCAAAAGTCTATTTGGGAGCAAGTTTCTTGAAACTTGTGACACATATTCCATTAAAACCAGTAACAAAAAACCTTATAAATAAGAATTATGTATCATGATTTGCCCAGAGAAACATACATCACCCACAATACAGTCGAAATAGGTACAACTGGGGAAAAACAAAAAACACTAGCTACAAAGCTTGTAATTAAACAAGAGGAACTAGATAGATGCACTCAAAAAAGGAACCTGAGGTGCCTGCCATATTGTCCTGCCAAGTACTTTCCAAAATACCATGTCAAAGAGCTCATAACTATGATAATAAGCAAACAGGCTTGATATAAAATGCAGTCTCAAACAATGACAGGCAATATCCTTTCTCTAATACACCTGCCATTACTCAAGATATTTTTAGACATCTTTCGGACCTGCTTTCTCTCTAACCAAGAGGCATATGACGGCTGAAATACAACGCATAAATTGGTTGAGAAAACTACAAAGATACCAGGCTTGAAAAAAACTTTGAGTACCCCATTAAAAAAATTAAAAGACTGCCAGATAATCTATCTTATTTATGAAAGTTTCACTTGGATTACCAGCTTTTTTAAAAAAAAAAAAAAAATCAATCTAATTCACTCACAAAAATAAAAATTTGGCTCCATGAGAACACGTCACAGAAAAGCATGCTAGTTTTGAAGAAAATTTCAAAAGAGTACTTTCAGAAGTGTCTAACTGTGATTGCACCACTGGAATTCACTATTGCTTCTGAAGATAGTCAAATCTTGAAAGGAGTAACATTCATTAAAATAAAACTTTGGTATGTTTATTAAAAGAAGAAAATCACATACATATTATATATATAATCACATATATATATATATATATATATATATATATACTCTTAATTCATATAGATACCTGACATAAATTTCAGTTATTTTATATATATGTTTTAGGTTGAATTACATAATTAAGAAGCAATCACTATATGTGCCTAACTTTCCTTTGATACAGATTTAATGGTGGTGCTAACTCGTGAACCATGATTAACATAATCTTGTAGGCCTCAAACTGAGTAAAGGAGACCAGAATCCATTTTAGAAGGCTGAACAGGGCTTGAGAGATTTGTTACTGTTTTCAAACTGTTTTAGAGGCAAACCGTCCCCTCAACAAAGGAAGTCTTACTGGAAATCTAACAATAAAGATAAACTGACACTGTTAAAATATTGTATTGGGTTAAAAGGTATTGCTAACTCATTTTAAGGTAACCTATGAGAATAAGGCTGTTCTGATAAATCCAAGCATTTGTGTTTATGGATGGCAGTTGCAGTCTTACATGTGTTAATATTCACTTTGTGTCTATATGTTGTTTGTCATATATGTTGAGAAAATCCTTACATAGGTAGGTAGATGTAACTATAAACACATTTGCTTTTGGGATTTTTTAAAAAACAATTTACCTTGACATTTTAGGATATTCTTCAATGGAGATAGAAAAAAAAGCTTTAAATTGAAGTATGTACAAAAATGATCTTGTTAGGTAAGTAGACTTCAGTGTGTTACAATCTGCTATGTAAATCAAATGAATGTTTTTCAGTTTAAAAATTTAATTTTTTAAAAATAAAATTTAAAGAATACATTTGAAGAACTTCTAGTAACACCAGCTAGATGATCTACTTCAACCCCTCTTAACAACTGTGGAGGAACGTAGCCTTGCCCAAGTTTCACAGCTGAAGTAGTAGATCTGGGACTGGAACCTATTATTTCAGATTTCTTGGTAAGTATTCCTTCTCTAACAGCACTAATTCTCTTAAAGGAATTGTGAGGTAATCAGGCAAAACTAGGGAGGAGAATGTTAAAAGAATATTTGCGTGAATAAGAAAATAAGCACTATAGCTCAGTGAATTCTCATTCAGGGGATATTCATGGCATACTGAATTTGGGTATGCATTTCCTATTTGTGAGATAAAGATTTTTCTGTAATTTCCTATCTCCCAGGACATTTTTTCCAGTTATACTGCTTTGACTTAAGAGTTATATTTCAGAGTTCACTAAAAATCACAACAAAAATCCAACTTTAATCCTTATATTGCTTAAAAACACTTAAGGGGATACTGTATTAAAAGCATGTTTGAGTCCAAAAAAAGTACTTTGCTAATTAAACAACACTTTGCACTATCATCCTCAAAACTGAAACAGAACTAAACTGTTATGGGTTATTATCATTTGTCACTGACCTTTCTCTACCAATTCTCTGCTCAATGGAAGACTCAAATTACCTTGTCGATTTGCTATTGAAAAAGGAGTAAAGTATCATGATTAAAATTTATATATGATATAAATATACATGTTATATAACAATAGCCAATATAAAATAACATGTATACATTATTAATAAACAGTACCTCCCCATTAGCACTTTTGCTTTCCATGCTTTCACTCTTCCAGTTTCAGTTACCAGCAGACAACCATGATACAAAAAATATTACATGGAAAAATTATAGAAATCAACAATTTATCTTTTAAATTGCACATCATTCTGAGTAGCATGGTGAAATCTCACACAGTCCTGCTTTAACCCACCTGGGATGTGAGTCATCCTTCTGCCCAGCTTACCATTTTATATATGCTACTGGTCCATTAGTCACTTAGTAGCTGACTTGGTTTTTAGATCGACTATCATGGTATCAAAATGCTTGTGTTTAAGTAACTCTTATTGAACTTAATAATGGCTCCAAGGCACAAGTAGTGATGTTGGCAAATCAGATATACCAGACAGAAGCCATAAAATGCTTCCTTTACATGAAAAGGTGAAAATTCTCAAAGAAAAAGGTCATATGCTGAGGTTGCTAAGATCTACAATCAGATACATGAACCTTCTATCAGTGATATTGTGAAGAAGGAAAAAGAAATTAATGGTTTAAGGGTTTGGTACTACCTAAGGTTTCAGTATCCACTGGGGTCCTGGAACATGTCCCCTGCAGATAAGAGGGGACTACTGTAATAGGTGTTTTGGTACTCACCAATATTTAAAACATCTTCTACAGCCTGAGTTGCAACCCTGTTAATATTGAATGACCTAGAAACAAAAATCAAATAATTCTTATTTTGAATTCTAAAAACATGCTGAAAATCAAAAAGAAACAACCTACTTAAAATATAAAGAATTCTTAAAAAGTAATTGGAAAAAGCTCTAAATGAACAAAGTTAAAAACTGGTAAATAATGTACTAGTATGGATATGATGAGACAAAAATTTTCTCCTTTTTTTTTTGGAGACGGAGTTTCGCTCTTGTTACCCGGGCTGGAGTGCAATGGCGCGATCTCGGCTCACTGCAACCTCCGCCTCCTGGGTTCAGGCAATTCTCCTGCCTCAGCCTCCCAAGTAGCTGGGATTACAGGCACGCACCACTATGTCCAGCTAATTTCTTGTATCTTTAGTAGAGATGGGGTTTCACCATGTTGACCAGGATGGTCTCGATCTCTTGACCTCGTGATCCACCCGCCTCGGCCTCCCAAAGTGCTGGGATTACAGGCTTGAGCCACTGCACCCAGCCGAGACAAATATTTTCATACACTGATGGGAACAGAGATATTGCAGTTGGAGAGCAATTATGCACTATCAAAATTAAAATGAACATATTCTTCAATCTAGTAATTTAACCTGAAAAACACTTCCAGCTACAATACAAAAGATAGGTAAAAAAATATTAGCTGAAAAGCTGTTTATAACAGCAGAACAACTCAAATATGTATCCACAGAAAGCTGATTAAATATATTATAACTACTCATTATGATATTTAAAATAATACAAATATATGTGCTGATATGTAGGGATAATCAAAATATTAAGTTAAAAAACAAAAGGCATTGTACAGTGTATATATTTGTTTCACTTTAAAAACATATATAGTATGACTGTAGAGATGAATGTAGAAGTACTAGGAAGTACTAGAATCTACTAGAAGTACTCTGAATATAGAATATGAATGTAGAAGTACTAGAGATATGAAATGAAATGGAGACTAGCTTTTTGCTGTACACGTTTTTGTACTTTTTAACATAGGCAAGTGTTCTTTAAATTATAAAATAGTTTGCTTGAAGGTAAGAAATATTTTACATGTGCAATGCCTTGCTTAACCACTAAAAAACAAGCATTAATACAAACATGGATAACTGTTCAAAAGAGTTCTGTCCTGGGGTCTATAAAGATCACTAAGAAAAGGTTGTTTTATAAACCTATATATAAATAAAATATATAAATAAAAATATATATATTCCCAGTAATTTTGAATTCTTCTACTGCCTCATAACTCTTCATACATGATCTCAATAGATAATCCCAAGGAACAGGAATATCCTATGAGTCATCGAGTTAGAACTCAGAATGCAGAAACTAACTCAGAACCGCACAGCTTCATGGAAACTGAACAACTTGCTCTTGAATGTTGACTGGATAAACAATGAAATGAAGGCAGAAATAAAGATGTTCTTCGAAACCAATGAGAACGAAAACACAACATACCAGAATCTCTGGGACACATTTAAAGCAGTCTCTAGAGAAAAATATATAGCAATGAGTGCCCACATGAGAAGAAAGGAGAGATCTAAAATTGACACCCTATCATCAAAATTGAAAGAGCTAGAGGAGCAAGATCAAAAACACTCAAAACCTAGCAGAAGACAGGAAATAACTAAGATCAGAGCAGAACTGAAGGAAATAGAGACACAAAAAACTCTTCAAAAAATCAATAAATCCAGGAGCTGGTTTTTTGAAAAGATCAACAAAATAGACAGACCACTAGCCAGATTAATAAAAAAGAAAAGAGAGAATAACCAAATTGATGCAATAAAAAACGATAAAGGGGATATCACCACAGATTCCAAAGAAATCCAAACCATCATCAGGGATTATTACAAACAACTCTATGCACATAAACTAGTAAATCTGGAAGAAATGGATAAATTCCTGGACACCTGCAACCTCCCAAGCCTAAACCTGGAAGAAGCCGAAACCCTGAATAGACCAATAACACAGTCTGAAGTCAAGGCAGCAATAAAGAGCCTACCACCCAAAAAAAGCCCAGGTCCAGATGGGTTCACAGCTTAATTCTACCAGACATACAAAGAGGAGCTGATAACATTCCTTCTGAAACTATTCCAGACAATCCAAAAAGAGGGAATCCTTCCCAAATCATTTTACGAGACAAATATCATCCTGATACCAAAACCCAGCAGAGACTCAACAAGAAAAGAAAATTTCAGGCCAATATCCATGATGAACATAGATGCAAAAATCTTCAATAAAATTCTGGCAAACCGATTGCAACAGCATATCTAAAAGCTCATCCACCATGATCAAGTAGGATTCATCCCGGGGATGCAAGGCTGGTTCAACATACGCAAGTCCATAAACGTAATTCACCACATAAACAGAACCAAAGACAAAAACCACATGATTATCTCGATTGATGCAGAGAAGGCTTTTGACAAAATTCAACAACCCTTTATGCTAAAAACCCTCAATAAACTAGGTATTGACGGAACGTATCTCAAAACAATAAAAGCTATTTACGACAAACCAACAGCCAATATCATACTGAATGGGCAAAAACTGGAAGCATTCCCTTTGAAATCTGGCACTAGACAAGGATGCCCTCTCTCACCACTCCTATTCAATATAGTACTGGAAGTTCTAGCCAGAGCAATCAGGCAAGAAAAAGAAATAAAGGGTATCCAAATTGGAAAGGAGGAAATCAAATTGTCTCTATTTGCAGATGACATGATTGTATATCTGGAAGACCCCATCATCTCAGCCCAAAATCTCCTGAAACTGATAAACAACTTCAGCAAAGTCTCAGGATACAAAATCAACGTGCAAAAATCACAAGCATTCCTATACACCAGTAATAGACTTCAAGAGAGCCAAATCAAGAATGAACTGCCATTCACAATTGCTACAAAGAGAATAAAGTACCTAGGAATACAACTAACAAGGAACGTAAAGGACCTCTTCAAGGAGAACTACAAGCCATTGCTCAACGAAATAAGAGAGGATACAAACAGATGGAGAAACATTCCATGTTCATGGTTAGGAAGAATCAACATCGTGAAAATGGCCATACTGCCCAAAGTAATTTACAGATTCAACGCTATTCCCATCAAGCTACCAATGACCTTCTTCACAGAACTGGAAAAAAACACCTTAAACTTCATATGGAACCAAAAGAGAGCCCGCATAGTCCAAGTCAATTCTAAGCAAAAAGAACAAAGCAGGAGGCATCACACTACCGGACTTCAAACTATACTACAAGGCTACAGTAATCAAAACAGCATGGTACTGGTACCAAAACAGAGATATAGACCAATGGAACAGAACAGAGGCCTCAGAGGAAATACAACATACCTACAACCATCTGATCTTCGACAAACCTGACAAAAAGAAGCAATGGGGAAAGGACTCCCTGTTTAATAAATGGTGTTGGGAAAACTGGCTAGCCATGTGCAGAAAGCAGAAACAGGACCCCTTCCTGACACCTTACACCAAAATTAACTCCAGATGGATTAAAGACTTAAACATCAGACCTAATACCATAAAAACCTTACAAGAAAATCTAGGCAAAAGCCATTCAGGACATAGGTGTAGGCAAGGACTTCATGACCAAAACGCCAAAAGCAATAGCAACAAAAGCCAAAATAGACAAATGGGACCTAATCAAACTCCACAGCTTCTGCACGGCAAAAGAAACAGTCAGTAGAGTGAATCGGCAACCAACAGAATGGGAAAAAATTTTTGCAGCCTAGCCATCTGACAAGAGGCTGATATCCAGAATTTACAAAGAACTAAAGCAGATCTACAAGAAAAAAACAAACAAGCCCATTCAAAAATGGGCAAAGGATATGAACAGATACTTTACAAAAGAAGACATACAGGAGGCCAACAAACATATGAAAAAATGCTCATCATCACTGGTCATCAGAGAAATGCAAATCAAAACCACATTGAGATACCATCTCACACCAGTTAGAATGGCAATCATTAAAAAATCGGGAAACAACAGATGCTGGAGAGGATGCGGAGAAATAGGAACACTTTTACACTGTTGGTGGGAATGTAAATTAATTCAATCATTGTGGAAGACAGTGTGGCGATTCCTCAAGGACCTAAAAATAGAAATCCCATTTGACCCAGCAATCCCATTACTGGGTATATATCCAAAGGATTATAAATCATTCTACTACAAGGACACGTGCACACGAATGTTCATTGCAGCACTGTTTACAATAGCAAAGACCTGGAACCAACCCAAATGCCCAACGATGATAGACTGGATAGGGAAAATGTGGTACATATACACCATGGAATATTACGCAGCCATCAAAAACGATGAGTTCACATCCTTTGTAGGGACATGGATGAACCTGGAAACCATCATTCTCAGCAAACTGACACAAGAGCAGAAAATCAAACACCGTATATTCTCACTTATAGGCGGGTGTTGAACAATGAGAACATATGGACACAGGGAGGGGAGCACTACACACTGGGGTCCGTTGGGGGGGAAATGGGGGAGGGGTGGGGGGGTGGGGAGGTGGGAAGAGATAGCATGGGGAGAAATGATAGATACAGGTGAGGGGACGGAAGGCAGCAAACCACACTGCTATGTGTGTACCTATGCAACAATCTTGCATGTTCATCACATGTACCCCAAAACCTAAAATGCAATTAAAAAAAAAAAAAAAAAAAAAGAACCTGAGTCAACACAACTCTAAACCTAAATCACTGGTTCTTAACTTTCTGGGGAAGGGAGAGTAGGAGATACTCTTATACCTGCTAACGCTATACTCTTCAAGTTTGGAGAAATGCAAAAGCATGACTTTTTTCTTAGGTCTGCAACCTTCACCATTCTAAGAATTCTCATTTAAAATCAGACATATCCTCTGCTAGCAAACTGGAAGCAAACTGTGTATCACATCTTCATCAACTACTAAAACTCTGTCTCCTAAAAACACATCTTCATTCTTAATTAAGTCTGGTAGTACAGCATGTAAGGAGAAAAAGGACTGAGAACGACCTTTTTTTTTTTTTTTTTTTTTTTTTTTCCCCCTTGAGACGGAGTTTTGCTCTTGTTACCCAGGCTGGAGTGCAATGGCGCAGTCTCCGCTCACCACAACCTCCGCCTCCTGGGTTTAGGCAATTCTCCTGCCTCAGCCTCCTGAGTAGCTGGGATTACAGGCATGTGCCACCATGCCCAGCTAATTTTTTGTATTTTTAATAGAGATGGGGTTTCACCATGTTGACCAGGATGGTCTCGATCTCTTGACCTCGTGATCCACATGCCTCAGCCTCCCAAAGTGCTGGGATTACAGGCGTGAGCCACCGCACCCAGCCCCTGAGAACAATCTTAAGAAGAAACTAACTGAAACATACAGTGATCTGGCTCTGCAGTACCTCTCTCAGTGTATGCAGTAAATCTTATTCCCCCTGAACAGAGAACTGACATGATAACGGGACAATTCAGAGACATTTGCTATGTAATACCACCCCTATATCCCATGTCATGTGGAAGAACTTCTGGAGATGCAGAGATGGAAGAGCTATTCCCCAAACATGTTTTTCTTCCTGAATGCATAAGTTGTTATTTTCTAACCCTTCATGCCATATAGTCATGTGACTGAGTTGTAGCTAATAGAATCAGAGTGGACATGATGAACACTACTTCAAAGCCTGGCTCACAGCCTCCCATGTGCACCCTCCATGCTCTTCCACCTTCTGTAGCAAAGCAACTGGAGGAGCTATGCTTAGAAGGTGGCAGAGCCACATGATGGAAGGACCCTGGCTCCTTGAATAACCACTTACAGGAGAGCCACTTGCCAATTACACTGCAGACTTTACAAGAACAAGAAATAGACTCATACTGTGTGAAGCCACTGAGATTGGTGGTTTATCTTTTATAACAAATAGCTAACCCTGAATCCCACATTTCCACATTTCATATTGAAAGCAAAGACTAATTTAAAAATTTCATACAAGAAAACAAGCACCTATCAAGAATTAAAAGAGAAAAACAGATTATTCTAATATTTTCTTTCCAGTGATTCCTCAGGGGTCTACGGTTTACAGTTAAGTTTAAAATTTAAATCACAACTTCACCATTTATTAGCCACATAGCTTTAGGAAAGTCAGTTAACCTATGAGACTTTCTGGATTCTACTAATGAAAACAAAATCACCTACTTCCAGAGTATTTGCGAGAATTTAAACAAGATCAACTAATTAGCTTGGAACAAAATATGTGCTCAGAGATGTAGTATGATAAAAACAAAAATTATTAATGTATAGAAATATATTGCTTTCCCCCAGCCCCTCAGGCTCCTAGGCTTCCCTTCTCTTCCTACATTTTTTAAAAGAGAAAAGGAAAAAAGATGAATGGGAATTGCAATCACAGCAAAAGAATCATCAGTAATGGGAGAAGGGAGAACCTGTTAGATGCAAATAAGCTGCATGGGGCCTGGTAGAGAAGAGACTGAGTAACCAAGGTGTCAGGGATAAGATACAGCTTGTGAGAAAGACTTTTATACCAGAGCACAGGAAATAACAGAATAATTTAAAGAGCAACATAGAGAAGGCTGAGATTTTAATCTAAGCCATACTTACTGAAACGCAACATCAACACAGGACTCAACTGCTGGGTGCATGTGGGAGGCAAGGAATGCTTTAAAAGCATTGTAGTGGCTGTCATTGCTTACTCTCTGAAAGGTTGAAAACTTGAACTATCAAAATTACACTCCTCCCCAGACAGAAGCCCCACCGCCTCTAGCATAAGTACTACTTCACTGAGATTAATTGGCAAATTTATCTTGATAAATCTTCAATACAACCTAGTGATTCTTCTTTCAACTACGTGACTTCTATTAGCTCAGAACCCCTCTCCTTCTCCATTTAAAAGCTGACCTTCCCTTGTGAAGCAAGCACAAGTAGTAATGACAGTGAAAAGGGCACTGATTTTGCAGTCCAGCACACTTGGGCTTATATCCAGGTTCTGACTCTCGCTTATTGTATAATTTTGGCCTAAATATTTATCCTTGCTAATCCTTAACTTACTCCTTTATAAAATGGGGATGCTACTATTTTGTTCCAGGATTTCTAAAAGGATTAGTTAATGTATAAAAGTACCTAGCACACTACAAAGTTGCAGGGGCTATATAACTGATAGCTTATATTACAATGCACAAAACATAAACACACAGAATCACAGAAGTTCAGAAGGCGAAGTAATCTTACTTACTATTTTATCAGTTCAAATTCCTGCATTTTGCAGACAAGGAAATTTGTACATAGTTGTAAAGCTAGTCCATGGTTTAATCAGGTCTCTTAACTCCTGGGCCAGTATTCTTCTCAGTGATACCACTTTGCCCATTTTTTATGGTAAGAATACTGGATAAAGAAAATCTCTATTTCTAATAGAAATTTCCATTTCTATTTCTAATTTTACTCCAGTTTTCAACAAGTAGCATAGCATGTTCAATAGGAAAGATGCTATCATGATAAATGAAAGCTGTTAACTGTAATGTTTTCAGTTTAATCTATGAGATGGTTACAAAATAATTTTATAACATATTAAAAGGATTAAATTTTTCAAACAATTACTGGAAAATTCATTTTAGAAATGTTCCTCTCATCAGCCTTCAGGAAAATAAGTTATTAACCTATCTTTTTAATGATACTTATTATTTTTTCCAAAACACTATTTATTTGGCTAAGACTAAGATTTTTTTATTGAATACTTATGAATTAAATGATATCTGAAAATTACTTCAAAATAAAAAGAACAAAAGTAGATACGTAGGGGTACAGAGGTAACAAGATTGGCCATGTGTTGATGAATTACTGAAACTAGCTACTGGTATGTGCAGATTCATTACATTATTTTCTCATTCTCATACATATTAAAAAAAATTTTATAGCAAAATAGTTTAAGAAGTCATGCTAAACAAGTAAGAAATAAAATTCTAAATTAAACTATCCAAATTTAAACATTTGATAAGCATTGTTTTAGCTACATACAATTGTGAGCATATAGTCATTTACTCAAAAAATACTTGAGTGAATATATATAAGGTACTGTGCACATAAAAGATTAGGCAGGAAAAAAAAATCTTCTATCACCATCCCAAATCCATAAAATTGCTTTAACTAGCTTGGTAGTAGCACATTAGATAACTGATAATGTAACAAGGGCTATAATAGTGCCATGAGAAAAAGTGTTAGGGAAGGATAAGAAAGGATTAATTCATTGTTTTTAAGAAAGCACTGAGTGTTAAAAATTTGCAAAAGAGAATGACATTTGAAGACCGGATTTTTAGCCAGTGGATAGAAAGTAGAGTGTTTAGGCATTCAAAGCAGGAAGAAGTTGCATTGAGCAAAAATAAAAAGCCAAGCGAGAAGAAGTGTGCTGAGAATTCCAAGTAGATGTGATGTTTCTAGTGTGCCATAGATGGGGGTAAGGGTAGGGCAGGAATAAGGCCAATAAGGTAACTAAGGTCATATGGTAATGGGTCTCAAATGATAGACTAAGCAATCTCAACAGAGGTCAATGAAAGCTGTAAAGCAAAGAAGAGAGACAGTCAGATTCATCTACATTTTAGAAGTATTACTCTGTTGTAGTGTAGATGACAGCCTGAAGAATAAAAGGTCAGGCACTAAGAATATCAACTAAAAAGGTGCAGGCTTCGACCAAAGCAGCAGCAGCATAAACTCAAAAAAAGTAGACTAAGACTTCAGAAGTACAATTAATAGGGTTTAGAGACTGGGATATATAGAGGGGAGAATGAAGAATGGAAAACTCCAAAGGTAAGAACAAGATTTTTGAGAAATCATGTTTTGCTTTTTTCTCTAGAGTGTGGAGTCGGGGTAAATGCTGCTGGTTTTAAGCAATATAAAGAAAAACTGAAGACAATAGATTCAGTTTTGGATGTGTTGAATTTGAAGCGCTACTAACATCCTACCTGCCATGTAATTTTAGAATATGAGTTTGTACTCAGGGGAGAGTATGTTTGGGGGGCATCTGTGTGGAATGTACCAAAAAGTAGAAGAGATTACCCAGAGGGAGGTTATAGAGTAAACAGGACATAGGATGCTAAACCTCCAGCCTATTTTTTAAATTATACTTTGTATTCATTTCCTATTATTTAAAATATTTTTCATTTTTAAGTGAAGACAGTCCCCAAACCACTTCTCATTTCCTTAGCTTTACAAACCTAGTGCTCAATAATGACCAAATGCAGGCTGTAACTGTAATCCAAGAAGTCAAGGCAGGACTACTAGACCCAAATGATGAACTGAAACTTGGCCTGCCTACATAACACCACCAGGCCACCTCTTCTACATTAGAGGCCTTAGATGTGCCGATATATTACATAACTAAAAATATTTTACAAAACTTGATAAGCAACATCCCAAGTTACTTACCAGGCCTTTGATCCTGTTCCAGTACACAAATTGAGCCCTGAACTCTTCTGTTTTTCCCACGGACCATCATCAACTGAAATCTCATAGTAGGAAGCCCTGTGAATTGAGAATATAAAACTGTTCACTGAGCTTATGGTTCACAGTAAATAAGATAGTCTTCTTCAGAACTAAGGAAATCTAAGTAAGTCAGCTTACCCAAGAAATACTTGACTTAGTAGGCACACACATCATGATGCTAATTCCAATTTGATTAAGTGAAAATGTTAGAAGAAATAAAAAAAAACTACATGTATGCACGCCTACCTGATCTATACATTCCTTTCTATCAATACCTTAATATTGCATATAGGAGCTTCTTGCAAATTTTTAGCTCGCTTTGCTGCTATTGCTCTTACGGAATCTAACATACACAGAGCCTCATTGCAGAATTCAAAAAAGAAAATTCTATTTTTAAGTGAGTTTCATTCTTGGTACCTAGTCCTTGATATATTTTAAAGTTGACCCTAATTCTTCAAAGCATTCACAGTTTCTACTAAACTCTTGTTTCTTAAATTACATACTTAATGTATCTTTTGAATTGGTAGTAAGCTAACAGAGACTGGAATATAAAGCTATTAAAAAATTCTCAACTAATATTGGATTAGTGGACAAAACTAGAAATAAAACCAGAACTATACATTTCTTGAGATTTACATTTCTTAAAATATTTCATAAATATTAAATCAAATGGGTTTTCTGGCAAAAGCAAAAATAGCACTATTCTTTAACTCCATGAATGCATAAATGATTTGTAACTATGCAAAGAACTTTAGAAATGTCTAAAAGCCTATTTTGTAGACTCTTTCTTAAAATAATGGTGTCACTGATCAACACCAAATTTTTCTCTCCAGCAAATAAAAAAGTTAAAACAAACCCGTAATAAAATATAACTTTTCAAAATAATAATTACTGGACATTGTTAGTAAACACTAACACTGTGGATAATTTATCTCTTATTCTAACCTTTTCAATTTCTCCTGTAAGTTCTTAATTTGTGAGGGTTTTGCATAATACAACTCCTTTACATTTTTTTCTCTAAAGTCAGAATTTCTTATTAAAAATAACAGATAGCAGGCCTAATATTCACATTTGATCTACATCATAGCTTTGTTGTATCTTCCTAGAAAACACACATTAGGAGCCTATTATGTACAGACAAGCCAGCCAAATCCATAGAAATGGCTACTACTAGGCCAGAATCATGTAGAAACAAAAGAGATTAGAGGATAGGGGGTGTGGGCAGAAAAGAAGCAGAGCCAGAGAGAAAGACAAGTATAGTCAGGTGAGAGATGCTGAGCCCAAAATAATGAGCAAATTTAGTGCCATTCTCACATGCAAGTTTAATCTAGATTAGTTAATTCACAGAATTTTTGTTTCAGGGAAATTATTTTTTTTAAGGCAGCAATAAAACTCACAGTCCCTTTAGAGTGGGTATACTTCTTCTTAAACTGTCCACTGCTACAGCCCAAGAATAAGACATTCTAGGTTAGAACAAATAGGAGAAAAGAAAACAAAATTGGGCCTTTAAAATGTTCTTAAATCTAAGAACATTATAAATGAGGCAGGAATAATATTGCTGCACTTCATATTTTTCAAGCAAGGCACTTAAGTTTTCAGAGCATAGTAAAGCCTTAATACAGAATCTAGAATCAGAAATACTGGGTTTATATTTCAGTTCTAATGCTAGCTAATTATATGACCTTGGGCTATTTATCTGAACTCTCCAAGTCTGAATTTTTTCACTAATAAATACCACTACCCTTCTCACAGGGTTGCTATGAGCATTAAATGAGACAGCATACACAATAAACGCAGTGCCTGACACTTAGCAGACGTCCAATACATATTCATTTCCTTTCTGTGTAAGGGTCTATGTCATAAAATCTTTAAAAGTAAGCTCTAATACCTGTAGTAAACTGTTTTCAACAGCATCAGAAGTCAATCTATTGCTGTCTTTACTTAGTAAAAACAGAAGGTGAGACGTCAAAGAACACAAAAAGCAGCAGCATCAGACGTTATTTATGAGATAAACGAACCAGATCACTACTGCCACAGAAAATAAAAGCATTCGATTAAAAATGCCCTCATGAAACTTCACTGACTCCCTTGTAATCTATCAACTAATCCCAGTTTTCCTCCTTTTATAAGTTATTTAATTTTTTAGTAAGTACAAAATTACAAAGCAAAGCTACAAGCTCTCAGCAGTTACTTTTAAAATATACAAACAATAAAATAATTCATTCAATGGCTTCCCTGGAGTAAGGATAAACTCACAAAACATTTTTATCATTGCATCTATTTAAGGTAGACTTTCTCCAATCTCTTAAAGTTTTTCCTCTCTTCTCTATCTTACGTCTTTAGCAATAAGACTGATTGTATCAGTAGAGTTACATTTTCATTCTCTTCTCATCTACCATATAGTATCTGTAAGTCATGTCTGTATTGCTTCTTTATATGTAGTGAAAGAAAAAACTTTATATTATAGCATAAGTCTTGCTGTGTTAAAATATATTTTTACACTTTACTGGTTTTGTTTCCTAAATATTTTATTTCTTTGAGTAATAAATTTTACTTTTAATTCTTTTCAAAATTATGTATGACTCTCCAAAAAAAATAAGATATCACTACCTTTCTTATTTATCTTTACATGCCTAGTGACTCATGTATTACACACAACACGTGCATGACGTAGTTTTGTTAAACAAATATTATGTAAACAAAATAACTGCAAATCAAAAAAACCTGTTCAAACCATTCTGCTGAATCAAACTTCCATTCTTTTTCAACACAACCTGAGTTGAATCATTGGTACAATGAGAATATCTTTTTTAGTTAAGACAAGTTTTTCTCATTATAATTAAAGCTCTTATGAAAGGGTATGACTGACAGCAAATAAAATTTCAGAATTTATGGAACTCTAAGCAAACAAGGGATCCAGTAACATAACCTTTAAAGGGTAACTCACATGGTTCTGGCAGCAGTAAAGTAGGAAATAAAACTCATCTCTAATCTTCTACCCTTAATTTACTTACATCTACAAGGATGAGAAACCAAGTTCTAAAGTACTACCAAGAGTTAACTTTACATCACTGTAGTCATTTTATAGCTTGTCATTATGTTCCACAAATATGTTTTGCAAAAAAATTCTGTTGATAATGTAAGCCTAAGTTATATTCAAGTCTCACAAAACAGATTCCGCCAGTAATGTAACACAAACATTTTTATGTTCCTAATAAGGAACTACATTAACCTTAATTTTTGTAATAATGGTTACAATCTTGAACGGTCCAGGCATTTGCCTTATGATGTATTACACTAAAAGGGATACAATATCACCTATGGAGCATTTCTGTCAAAAACGCCTAGTCTGAATCTTAACATGAAAAAAAAATCATACAAATTTAAAATAAGGGATATTCTGCAATCCAACTTAGACCATTCAAAAATACTGATATCATGAATAACAAAAACAGATGAAGCTAAGAAAGCGTTCTGAATTTTAAAAGGCCACGATGGCCAAATGCAATGTGTGATCCTTAATTGGATCCTGGATAAAAATAAGCAAACAAATTATAAAAACAAGCAAGCAAATGAATCAATTAATAGAAAATTTTAATACCAATTGACAGGAAATTTTAATATGAACTGCCTATAAAACTTTTCTATCAATTGCAAATTTATACTTAGTATACTACTCTCTTAAATATAAGCTGGGAACAGTGGCATGTATGTCTATTCCCTGCTGTTCAAGAAGCTGAGGAAGGAGGATCGCTGCAGCCCAGATTTAAAGGCCAACCTGGGCAACATTTAGAGATGGTGAGATGCCATCTCTAAAAAACAAAAAATAAAAATAAAACATTAAAGCATCTATAGAAACAGATTAAAGGCTCTGGGAAGCAGTGCAATAACTTTATTTAATCTAGGGATTCACAAACTTTTTTGTCATAGAACATTCTTTCCCCTTAATACTTATTAACATCTATGAAGGTTCTGGAAATATCTCATTAAATAATGAACTGCCATTACTTACAGAGTATTAGTTATTCACCAATCTTAGCCAGGTTGTAGAAACTGAATAAATATCCAAAAGCACTGTAATATTAAATTCCATATTCAAGATCACAGGTTTAAAAGTACCTGGATGACAGACTCTCCCCAATGAAGACTTCATTTAGTGCTCTCACTGGCAAAAGTTGGGGTCCGGAAGCCTCAGACCCTGCATGTAATTTAAGAAAAAGAAAAACCAAGATTGCTCTTTGATTTCTACAAATATTATTATAAAAAATTTATAAAATTTTGGAACTTTTATATTTTTGTTTTTGAAAGAATCACATGCTTTAATATAATTAACATTTAAATTATCTTTACTTAATGCGTCCATAACATAAACCTTAAAGTCACCTAACCTTATACCTGTAATGAAGGCCCTCTCTCTCCAATAAACTTTAATTCTTCTTGAACAATTTCTCGAGAGTGATGAAATATATTTATCCATCTCATAAGATTCCTGTTGTTACACTTGTATATCTTGGAGGCTTCAGAGGTATAACTTATCAATTAAAAGGAGAACTATTTTGGATTTAAGCAGCAAATTACATGCACAGCTTGGATGCTGGAAACCAAACCAGGTATGTTATCAATTTTTTTTTCCAAATAGAAAACCTCAAGAGTGGCTTTAGCAACAGTAGCATTGGAGGAATATTTCCCACATCCCCCTTCATCACTTCTGAAAAAAGTTTTCTTTTTTTGAGTCTATACAGTTGTATGCACAGTTTAAGTAATCTTCCTTCAAAATTACTTAAACATTACACCATCAAACAAAATCCTCCAAAGGATTCCCAGTGCTTTCTGGTTCAAATTTGTGACTGTCCCCTTCAAACGGTTCCCTTTACTTATTTTATTAGTTTCCAAATGGAAATGCCAACTCTGTCTCCTCCGTGTCACCACTATCAGATTTATTGGACTTCAGTCTCTCCCATTAGGCAAGCAACATTTATTGGATTTTATCAGACAACACTGATCTATTCTTTTTCTCTGACTTGGTAGCCTAATTATTATATTCGTCTGTTTATTATGTTTATGAAACTTAACATCACATTTTTCTCATTTCTTTTAGATTATAACTGCCTAAAGGGAACCCAATTATTATTACAAATATAACAAGTTGTTATTATAATACCAAGTTCCCTTGGAGCACTTGTTGTTTACCTAAATTATCAGCTCAACTCCATAATACAGTGGAAAAATGTTGATGCAAAAAGATATAGACATATATAAATATAGATACATACACATACATATATATAAATATTTCATATGTTTAATCAACTTTCATTGCACATAAGACTAAAACTGGCTTTAAACTGTTTTACTTAGGTACTACATATATTCACATTCTCATTCTTGACAGTTTTACAAACATAAATGGCTAAAATGTATTGTTTAAATTACTTTTCCTCAAATAGTTACTAATGAAATTTGTTTAGATCAGTATTCACACAGATTCCCTACAAATGCTCAACAACAGGTATTCATGAAGTATTACCAGTAAATCTGAGCTCTCACCATCAAACTGTAACCATGTTTTCCTTTTATGTGGTCTTGACTTTCCACCTCTATTCCCATTTTCCTGCATCCCCATTTCTCTCTCCATATTACATTTTTATTACATGTGCTTGTTGAATTTCAACTCAAAACCTTTGTCAAATAAGTTAGAAAATAAAATTGCTTCAAATCTCATTCATCATCTAATTCTGCTCATTTTATCATACTAATTGACTACTAAAACTTATTTAACCACATAACTATGTTCATTTAAAACTTGCCTCAATGGGACATGAAAAAGATGCACTCCGTATCAAACTACCTTTTTTTTTTGAGACAGAGTTTCACTTTTGTTGTCCAGGCTGGAGTGCAATGGTGTGATCTCAGTTCAAGTGATTCTCCTGACTCAGCCTCCCTGGGATTACAGGCATGCACCATCACAAAGCCCGACTAATTTTGTATTTTTAGTACAGATGGGGCTTCGCCATGTTGATCAGGCTGGTCTCAAACTCCTGACCTCAGGTGATCCACCTGCCTTGGCCTCTCTAGGTGGTGGGATTACAGGTGTGAGCCACCGCGCCTGGCCAATTACTTTTTTATCCAAGAGAATAGATTACAAAACTACAATTTGTATTTTTAAACACAGAATTGCAATACTAGTGACACAAACTACTACACTGTGTCATATTGCTAAACTTTATATCCAGCTCTATGTACCCACAGTGTGGATAACTATCACAATGTCATACCGTTAAACTTTATATCCAGGTCTGCTTGCACTAGATGGAGCCATGTGACTATTTATCGCCAGTGGAATGTGGACAAAAGTAATGAATAGGCCTAGTTCCTAAAACTTCCCGTAAGATCTTCTATGTTCTCTATTTTCTCCCCACAAAATGCAGAGGATCCAATGGAAGACTCAGAGGCCTTAAAATATGGTAGCAGCCACTATTTTGGTTCCTTCCCTGGTTGCCTGAAAACCCCTTGGACAGTGAGATGAGTTAGAAACAAGCTTTTTCATTCAGTCACTGAGTTCTGGGATTGTTTATTAAACCAATTAGTCTCTCTGTATTAATACAATCAGTCTTTATTTATATAGCATTTACACTGTGTTAGGTATTATAAGTAATCTAGAGATTATTAAAGTATAGGGAAGGTTATATGCCAATGCTATGCCATTTTATATCAAGAATGTGAGCATCCTTGAATTTTGGTATCCGCAGCAGGTCCTGGAACCAGTCCCCCTCAGATACATGTATATGAAATAATATGTTCCAGTCACCACCCCCTGCATCTCCACCTCCTCTCTGGAAGCTTGCAGTAGCTGCTTCATCCCCAGTATTCTGACAAACCTTGGTGTAGAATATTTTGCCATTAATTGTGTGAAACACTTTGTGGGTCCTTTCAATTCAAAGACTCTAGGCTAAGTTTCCCAATTTAAATTTTTAAAAAGTATTAACTGATTCAAACTAACTGTATATATTTATGGGGAACACATAATATTTTGATACATGCATACAATGTGTAATGATCAAATCAGGGTACTTAGGACAGCCATCACCTCAAATATTTGTCATTTGTGTTGAAAATATTTCAAATCTTCTGCTCCAGCTATTTTGAAATGAAGGTATTTTGAAATATACAATAAATTGTTCATTATAACCACCCAACTATGCTACTGAACACTGGAACTTATTCCTTTCACTTAAAAGCATATTTGTACCCATTAACAAACCTCTCTTCATCCCACCCTTCACCCTTCCCAGGCTTTGGTAACTATCATTGTACTCTCTATCTTCAGGAGGATCAACTTTTTCAGCTCTCACACATGAGTGAAAGCACGTGGTATTTGTCTTTCTATGCTTGACTTAGCTCACATAGTGACCTCAAGTTCCATTCGTGTTGCTGCAAATGACAGGATTTCATTCCTTTCATGGCTGAATAGCACTCCATTGTGTATATATACCACATTTTCCATATCCATTTATTCTACATGGACACTTCAGTTGACTCCACACCTTGGCTATTGTGAATAGGGCTGCAATAAACATGGGGTACCAGTATCCCTCTGCTATACTGATTTCCTTTCCTTTGGATAAGTACCCAGTAGTGGGATTGCTAGATTGTATGGGAGTTCTATTTTAGATTTTTGAGAAAACTCCATGCTGTTTTCCATAACGGCTTTAATAATTTACATTCCCACAAACAGCGTGTAAGAGTTCCCTTCGCTCCACATCCTTGCTAGCATTTGTTATTTTAATCTTTTTGATAATGGCCACTATAACTGGGGACAGATGATATCTCACTATGGTTTTGAATTGCATTTCCCTGATGATTAGTGATGTTGAACATTTTTTCATATAGCTGTTGGTCATCTGTATGACTTTTGAGAAACTTCTATTCAGAGCCTTTGCCACTTTTTAATGTATTATTTGTTTGTTTGTTGTTTGAATTCCTTGTATATTCTGGATATTAGTCCCTTGTTAGATAAATAGTTTGCAAATATTTTCTCCAATTCTATAGGCTGTCTCTTCACTCTCATTCCCTTTGTTATGCAGAAGCCTTTGTTTAATATAATTCCATTTGTCCATTTTGTTTTTGTTGCCTGTGCTTTTGAAGTCTTAGCCATAAAATCTTTGCCTAGACCAATGTGCTGAATAATTTCCCCTGCCTGTTTTGGGAAATCATCATGTATAATTTTTTCATTTTGAATATTTTTCTGTTCTTTTTCTGGAAATACCATTAATCAGATATGAACATCCTAGATGCTAAGCTGTGATTCACTAGGTTTGTATATAATATTGTTTCTATATACGAAATATCAACTTCATTTATAAACTAAACACAGTCAATCTGAGCAGTGACTCTTTGTATATCAATCTTTACCTTTTTATAAGACTGCTGGTGAAGACAGTCAAATCTACCATCTATTGGTGCTAACAGTAACTTCTTTCAGGGAGGAATTAAGTAAAATTTCTAACAATTATTTTTAAATTGTACTTAATATTTATTGCAGACTTTCAAAAACAGTAACAGAAGTTCATGTGCATATAATTTCTTAAGATTTTTTAAATAGAACGGTTTTTTGGGATGAGAATCTTTAAAACACAACATAAATACACATTTTAGAAACATGCTAACCTATAAAGCTGTACATCACCATGAAAAACTCTGGAATAAGTGGATATATACAACAGGTACCACGAGAGAGCAGAGGCAGAAAGCAGAAATGCAAAAGTATCTTTTCCTGATAAATATATCCAGAAAATAAAACACAGGAGAAAACTGTATCTTTATTTTATACAGTCTACAAATATTTAAGGTTTCTCTTGGGATATTCTTGCATCATTAAAGTCCTACATTTGTTAGAAAAACTGGGAAAATATGGCTCCAAGTGGAGAATTCGCTTTAACCCTCATAACAAAAAAAGCTGAAAATTACCTTATGCTAATATTCTCTAAGCAGACTACACATATACGTCAAGCACAAATCTTAAAGCTGGAATGCAAAATTTCCCAATAAATGTATTTAATATATTTAAGTATAACTATATAAAATGTATAATCATCATAATCTTCCACAGACTAGCTCATTTCATCTCAACTGTTTTTTTTTTTTTTTTGACATTTCAAAGATTAAGGCTAAGAATCTTTTCTTAAACATCAACTATCCTATCAGATACTTTATAATCCTTCCCTAAATCAGCTAGTTTTCAAATCTGTCCTAGAAAATATTTCTTCTAGAAATATGCTATATTTCTTACTTCAAATTCTAATTATAATAAACTTTACAATTGAAATAATTTACTGTACTTTGTTAAGTGCTACTGACACTAGAAATAAGTTAATCACAAATTATTACATCAAAAAATTTGAGATCAAAGGAACTATGAGTTAAATATTGCCCCAGACACATTTGATGCCCAATCCACCTACTTTCGTCATGAGTTCTTTCAATGTTAAGGGCTCTACTGTGTTGATTCAAGCTTAGCTGCTGCTCATGAAGGTCCACAGGAACAGGGTTTATGCCAGTCCCTTCAAGGTATAACCTGATTCGCTGCCTCCACAACCACCTTAGAAAAGTGAAGAAAAGGCAAATTATATTAAAATAGAATAAAGTGTAGACAATATAATAATTTAACAAAATTAAATAGTTATAATAAAAAACTAGTTATTCTATGAATAAATTTTATCACAAACACCTAAAGCCTATAGTTTCCTGATCAAAGACAGATTTGAATATTTCTCTTTTCAATTACAATGGAAATACTAATGTGATTGTACAAAATCTCCAAAGTAACTTAAGTCAAACTCTATCAAGAACCCATGAAGTCCAAGATACTGAGCTAGACAGAGCTTGTGCTTTGCTCAGCAAAAGATTATTATATCAAAAAAAAAGCATTCTTAAATTAAAATTGTGTTCAGATGGCTGGATTGGATAAAAATCCCCTCCCACAAATTTTGTAATAATGAAGGTTTTTTAAAACAATAAAGGGAAAAAGGGATTAGCGGTGGCTCAAGCCTGTAATCCCAGTACTTTGGGAGGCCGAGGCGGGTGGATCACGAGGTCGAGAGATCGAGACCATCCCAGTCAACATGGTGAAACCCCGTCTCTACTAAAAATACAAAAAATTAGCTGGGCATAGTGGCATGTGCCTGTAATCTCAGCTACTCAGGAGGCTGAGGCAGGGGAATTGCCTGAACCCAGGAGGCGGAGGTTGCGGTGAGCTGAGATCGCACCACTGTACTCCAGCCTGGGTAACAAGAGAGAAACTCCGTCAAAAAAAAAAATTTAAATAACATTTCTGGTAAAAGAAAAAAACAATCAGGTTTAATTGATTTCAAAACTTATAATCAACGTATTGAGAGTCAATGGGATAGATTCTGCTAGTTAAGTATACAAAAGTATACTTCTACTTGGTAGCTATAAATTAGCCATTTCTAAAGTTGCCAAACTTCTGAAATGACTAGAAACTAGAATTGTTGGTAATAAAATGATTCTAGAAAAGTCAAGTAGATCTAATACAACTTTGCAAACATCTCTGGGAAAGGCTTTCCCAACTATAAAACCTAGTCCAAGTCAAAAAATAAAAAGTAGTCTAACTTGGCTCTCTCAAATATAATCCGCTAACACTGTATCAGCTCCTCCCTCCACCTTCCTCTTTTCCTAGTGGTCTGACCACCGAACACATTAAGTAAAAGAATTTTTAAAAATCCCATCCCCACTGTTTAAGAAATACTTTTATGTGAGACAGCTACCAGGAATCTCAGCATGGTTGGATTAAATCCGACTCTCAATCATTACTAGATGGGAGATAAAGATAAAAAATATAAAATCTCAAAATTTAAACACTCAATTTTAGCCAAAGTTTTAATTACCTTTCCATGACTGATAAGGACATGTAATAAGGTTAAGAAAGTAGAGACATGGCTGCTATCTCACTGAAGGAGAAAAAACATCTATGGCAGTTAGGCCAACCAATATTTGTCAGGGGTTTTCTCCACAATTCCAACTGGACAAAGAGAAGGTAAATTAGACCTATTTGTGGCTCAGCTAATGCATTACTTTTTATGGCTACTGTTATATCTATGGAGTAATCCAAACATTATTTGATTTGTTCTGATTTGCTTGTGTTTTGTTTGTTTTGAGACACAGTCTCACTCTGTTTCCCAGGCTGGAGTGCAGGGGCAGAATCTCGGCTCACAGCAACCTCTGCCTCCTGGGCTCAAGTGATCCTCCTGCCTCAGCCCCACAAGTAGCTTTGACTACAGGTGCTAGCCACCATGCCCGGCTAATTTTTGTTTTTGTAGAGACAAGGTTTTACCATGTTGCCTAGGCTGGTCTCAAACTCCTGAGCTCAAATGAACCACCTGCATTGGACTCCCAAAGTTCTGGGATTACAGAAGTGAGGCACCATGCCCTGCCTGATTCGTTCTGTTTTTAATGGCATTATTAATGGCACATACTTATTAAAGTACTTATATAAAAACAACAGTAAGAAATTCCTACCTGAACTCACCACGATAGAACTTCTGTAAGGCTTCTGGGAAGGAATGTGTATATCGAACAGGCAGGCATAAATGACCCTCAGACCTATATTTTTACAGGAGTTGTTTGTCGATATAAAGAGGAAAAGAAAAAAGGTAAAGCAAAAAAAAATGTACTCAAAAGGTATCACACTAAGCTAAAAAATAAGATACGAAATTCTAAAAATTTCTACTCTGTATTTCATTTTTTTGCCACAAAATGTGTTCTTTCAACAAAAACAAAAAGATTAAACAGAACTAGTAGTCTACATCCAGCTTTAATGCCATAATACACAATAATATTTGAGTTTCTACATTACAGTGAAACTAAAAATAGCAGAAAATCTGCCACTGACTGATGACCCTGTAAATCACTACGAATGGTACAGTGGTGTTCAAATTACTACATTATTTAACTATTAATCTTCAAATTTTTATTTCAACCTTTAAATCACTTAACTATTAACTTTGGGCAAGTCACTTTATCATTAGCTTTCTCATCTCCAAAGTCAGGATAAACCAGCAATCTCAAAAGGTTATTCTGAGGAATCAAAGTATTTATTCTAAGTGTTTTGAACCATAATCCCTTTTTAAATGTCATTTAAGATATCCTAAAAGAGAACTGAGAAAGCTTAATCCAGTGTAATAATTCATTTATTCAACAATATATAAATAAACTCCTTTAAGGAGTTCATAGCTTCATGTAGAAGACAAATTAAAACAAATCACTACAAATTATAAGGTGGTAAGATTGCCTATTGGCTGGTATAGATGAGAGTATGTGTCACCTAAAGATGTCCGGAAGGCTCAATTATCATCATTTATATGATACACCCATCGTGAAGAAAGGGCTGAGGGTAGGCTTAGCAAAACAAACTCCTGATAATAAATGTGAATCAATTTCTAAGTGTGAAGAGCAGAGAACAATGTTTTTACGAAGTTGTGAATAATCTAAATCTTTATCTGAGCAGGTCAACGATGAGGTTAAGAAAGGTTTAGGCCTAGGCTTTTAAATTTTCATATCCATTGTAATACTCCACACTATGTTAAGTATATAAAAGGTATCAACAGTCATTTGATAGAACAATAACCTGCTGAGGTCAACTGCAAGTCTAAAACCCCTGTAGAGAGAAGATTCTCTCATGAGGTTACAGTAAGATATCAGCTAGGGTGGCAGGCATCTAAAGGCTTGACTTGGGCTAGCACAACCACTTCCAGGCTTGCTCACTCACATGGCTGGCAAATTGGTGCTGGCTGTTGGCAGCAGGCCTCAATCCTTCTCTGTGTGAGCCTCTCCACAGGACTGTGTGTGAGTATCCTCACATCGTGGTGGCTGTCCTAACCCACAAAACAATCTTAAAGACCAATATAGATGTCGCAATACCATTTATCTCCTGGCCTTGGAACCTATACATTCTCACACGATATCCTCTTGGTCATATAGGCCATCCCTGATTAAATACTGGGGGGCAAGGAGGTACATTAAAGGCTACCTAAATACTAGGAAGATAGAGGGCATGACTACCACATGCCCTCTATCCCATTTTGAATATTAAGTTTTCAAATGTTGTAATTATTTACTAGGCTCAGTAGAGTGGCTGGAGAATACAGAAGAGATGGACAGAAATTATACATTTGATTTAGATGAGTCCATGTGAGTGAGCCATCTTGAAAGTAGATCCTCCAGCCCAAGTCAAGCCTTCAGATGCCTGCAGACCAGTCTGACATCTGCTTATACTCAGGAGAGATCTCAAATCAAAACCACCCAGCCAAACTGCTCCTGATCTCCTGACATGCACAAACCATAAGAAATAATACACTGTTATTGCCATAAGCCTCTATGTTTTGGAATGAATTTTTATGCAGCATGTGACAACTAATGAAGAGGAGAAAAAAAAACTTAAGTTGAACATTAAGTTCTGGGCTTTTTTTTTAGGACTGTGAGACACCATGATATTTAAGATAAAGAAGTCAGACAACATGAAGTATACACAAAACTAGAAAGCCACTTAATATATCTGCCTGGAGGCAAGAAGAGAAACCAAAGGACTTCTAAAACCTGTTCTAGGTAGAAAATACAGAAGAGATGACAATATTAACAATCTCTGCTTGCCTGCTTCAAAGTTCCCACAAATTTACAAATACAAAACCAGTTTTCAAGAGAAAATATAGTTCAACAAGCTGTATTAACATATGATCACTAAGGTTAAGAATCTTTTACCGTAATGATACAAAAAATAAGCCATTAAGAAGTTCTGAAATCCACATGCATCAACATTGACGGCAATCAAACATTAATTGATGAACCAATATTCTCGGTACTTACATGTGTGGGAATATTTACTCAGCTAGATTGGGGTTCGATCCCTATTCCCTGAAATCATTTAATTAATGATTCATTTTTCAAGTGTTTACTACCTACCAGCTAAGTATAAAACTATGCTAGTGCCAGAGAAATTAAAATACAAGGTCCTATACTCAAATAATCTATAGTCTAATGGAAGAGACAAATAATTAAACAGAAAATAAATATATAGGGATATGTTCCTTCTGTACAGGGAATTACAATGTAGGAGAAACACCAGAGTCTTGAACAAACAAGACCACAGAAGTGACTAAGTGGTGTAAGGGTACTTTTGACAAAAACAAAAACAAAAACATACAAAGGCATGGGTGGTTGGGGTAGGGTGGGGGGACATGGGCCTTCTGGAGAACTCTTTCACCTACTCTCAAATTATGCCCTGGGTCTTACATAACAACAAAGCTCCCCCATAGAGTAAAACATCCCTGTGTGAGCCTCTAATCAGCATGTTGGTGGATACTCATATAGTTACATTTTGTAGTTTGGAGCACCCTTTTGGAAAGGATCCTAGGCTGATCCTAGAACGGTTAACAAAAATACATTTTTTAAGCTAAAGAATGTATCATGCCTGTGGACATATGAGGACGATGAAACTAGAAAAGCAAATAGGCAAGACATAGTCAAAGATAATATAACTTACGCTAAGGAGTTTGAAATGTATCCTGAAAGTCATGGGAAACTCTAACAGACTTTAATAAGGAGTGGATATAATCAATTAGATTTGCACTTTAGAAAGAAGACTAAGGTAATGTGTAAAGTAGAAGTTAGAAGGAGACAGACTATAAGCTACTTCAGTAATTTAAACAACAAACCATGAAGGCCTGAGCTATTTTTAGTGGCAGTGAGGATGGCAAGAGATGGACTCAAAAGTAATTTCCCTAGAACATAGGATCAATGTGATGATAGAGTCAGGGAGAGGTAGTTAAAGCTTCAGCACAGGTGATAATTCCATTCATCAAAAATGATGGGAGAGAGGAAAGGAGAGTTTTATCTGTAGATGTTACATTTTTAATACCACTGGATACATCCAAAGTAGAGGCCAGTGTGGCTAGAATAGAATGAAGGGAAAAATAATAGGCAATAAGGACAGAGAATGGTAAAGGCTAGATACTGTACAGTGTGTATGTCACATTTAAGGTGACTAACTGTTCCCTGCTTGCCTGGACTGACAGTTTCCTGGGACACAGGACTTTCAGTGCTAAATCTAGGAAAGTTCCAAGAAAATCAGGAGGAGTTTGTCACCCTATTCATAGTTAAAAAAAAAAAAAAATAGATTTTATCCTAAGTTAAATGGGGAGCCAGGACAAAAAAATCTAGGCAGAGAAGTCACATAATATTATCAAACTGTCACAAAATAATCACACTGGCTACAGTTGGGAGAAGAAACTAAGAAACTGTAAGGGTAAGAATGGACGCAAGATCAGTGTTGGAATAAAGATTGTGGAGTCCCAGGGGACTCCAATAATACCACAGTATTAATCAGCCTCTCTGGAGACAATATAGGAATTGAAGAAGAACATCAGTATTTAGGCAGCATCCAAATAGTAAGATCCTTCAAGAGAGATACAAAGAAGTAGTCACAGGGATAGGAAGAAAGGGGTGTCACAAATGCCAACAAAGTACAGCTGAAATAAGGGAGCAGTTAGCACCAAAAACTTCACAGAAATCAGGTAAGACATGGACTAAAATATCCAGTAGATTCAGTAACTAGGATATCACTGGTCTCTAAGGCAAAAGCAAAGTCAATGAACTGGTTGGGGACAAATGCCAAATTTTAGAAAGTAACTAAGAACTAAAGAAGTGAAGATAATCAAGCTTAGGGATAAGTGGAAGGAAAAGAGCTAATAACCAAGAGAGGGACACAGGGTAAAGGATTCTTAAAAATTCTTGAAAAACAGGAGTCTTGAACAAGCTTTTTTAGGCTAAGAGGAATCATGTGCAAAGAGAGAGACAGAAAAAAACAACATGATAGGACAAGATTTTTTTAAGCAGGAGAAAATAAGTAGTTCTAATCGAGTGATTTTCAATTCCTCTGTTTAAAAAAAAAAAAAAAAAAAGGTGAGCTTATCAAAGGAAGAATAAGAGAAGCCAAGGTGAATGCAAAAGTTGAACTACTGAAGCAGCCACCACAGAGAATGGAGAAGAGAGATGAGTAGGGCTACATAGGAAGTTTGTGTGCAACTCTGAGTCCACTAAGTGCTGAAGACTACAAATTGGAAGTGCCATCAAACCCAATTAGTATGACTTTTTTCCTCCAGATGATCATAGCAGTACGGATGCAGACACAGAAAAGATTGATCTAGAATTGTGCAGAAAGATAATGATAAAGAAATATTTGCAGTTTGGGAGGCCGAGGTGGGCGGATCACTTGAGGTCACAAGTTTGAGACCAGCCTGGCCTATATGGTGAAACCCCATCTCTACTAAAAACACAAAAATTATCCAGGTGTGGTGGTGTATGCTGGTAGTCCCAGCTACTCGGGAGGCTGAGGCAGGAGAATTGCTTGAACCCAAAAGGCAGAGGTTGCAGTGAGCTGAGAATACACCACTGCACTCCAGCCTGGGCAAAAGAGTGAGACTCTGTCTCAAAAAAAAAAAAAAAAAAGAAAGAAAGAAATATTTAAGAAAGTGAATGAAGTGAGGAAGAATTAAGTGGAGAAAACAGAGGGGATCAAAATACTGAAAGTCAATGGGCAGATTTAGTGGGATAAAGTAGTAAGTCTGCTGTTAAGGTAGGAGGCTGCAGTCAGAATGTAATTAATTAGGATTGCAGAGATAGGGAAATCCTAGATCATCATAAAGTCTCAGTAAAGTCATGGTTGTGGATGGCTGGAACAGAATGAGGGTAAATATCAATAAAGCTGAGGAAGGAAAGAAAAAAGTGCCAATAGTGTCTGGACAGGTCCTTTTATTAAGTCAGTAAAGTCACTCCCACAAAAAGCCAGTGGTGGCATAATGAGGGTAGTTCATAAGGAAGGGTAGAAAATGGATCATTATTACCTTCTCCCTCCTCAGCAATACCAAAGGTCCACAACACTCACCTGGGTCAAGAGCTCAGGTCTATTATTTCATAGATCCTACTCCCAACCCACCGGGAAGCTAAAACGTGAGGACTGGTCCATCTCATAGCATAACTTCCTATCATGAATGCCAGCTAGATGTATCTGTATCTTTCATGCCTGAGCTTAAAACCAGAGCTATATCCTTGAAAACAACTATATAAAAGACAATCCTACTCATTTCTACATACCTAAATTTCATTACTAGAATGTTTCTGGAACATGGTTCTAATATTCACAGTGGCCAGGAACAATGATGCTTCCACTTAGACATCATACACCATAGTAAAATGTCTGTAGCAACAGAGCCCAGGAATGTGAATGTGGTAGAGAAAATAAAGAACAGCTTCCAAATTTTAAGATAGATCATAAAAAGATACTATGCAAAGCAAAGCAGAAATGCATCTATGTTTTCCTGAAAAAAAAATTAAAAACACACCACACAAATCAAACAAAAAGTCTATGTTCTTTCTCACCGTTCTGGATCAGTGTTTACTCCTATAACTGGTTTCAGTCTGTCTAAGACTTTACTTGCTGCCAGCAGCATTGTGCCATCACCTAAGGAACACAGGACAAAACACAATATCCAGTTTTTGGCCATTTTGAAAATTAGTGGTTTTAACAATCATATCCTACCCTGCTAACTGCCATAGCCTATTCCACTCCCTTTCTACCTACTGTACCTTTTGAGTCTCCCTCCCACTCCAATCCAGGATTTCATAAGTGGCAAGATTAGATTTAGGCAGAATAATTCTTTGCTATGGGGACACTGTAGAATGTTTCAGAGGTATTCCTTTTAGATACCAGTAGCACCCCACTGTTGGTAACCACTACTCTAATCCAGAAATTTCTATTAGCCAATCTTCTTTCCTTTTCCCATAACACCAGTCCAAATTCACAAATTATTTTAACGAAAACATATCCAATGGGTCTATCTTAAAATCTTTCTCTCCAATAGCTGCTGTCAACTTGAAGCTTTAGAAACAGTAGTCATTAACTTAATGATAAAGTACAGAAAAAAGTAAGTATAAGTATTTGGGACCGGGCCGGGCGCGGTGGCTCAAGCCTGTAATCCCAGCACTTTGGGAGGCCGAGGCGGGTGGATCACGAGGTCGAGAGATCAGGACCAACCTGGTCAACATAGTGAAACCCCGTCTCTACTAAAAATACAAAAAATCAGCTGGGCATGGTGGCACGTGCCTGTAATCCCAGCTACTCAGGAGGCTGAGGCAGGAGAATTGCCTGAACCCAGGAGGCGGAGGTTGCGGTGAGCCGAGATCGCGCCATTGCACTCCAGCCTGGGTAACAAGAGCGAAACTCCGTCTCAAAAAAAAAAAAAAAAAAAAAAAAAGTATTTGGGACCAAAGAGTAACAGAATTTACCTCATCTCATTAAACACTTTATCAACTTCAATTTTTTTTCTTAAAACTGCCGTAATACCAAAATACAATAACTGATCCTTTGAATCATATTTGAAGTTAAATGCATACCTTAAATATACACAAGGAACCTCACAGTAACATCATCCATTTAAAAAGTAGACTTGTATAAAACAGATGTTTTAAACTTAATCATAGCAATCCAAAAATTTGTTTAATGGCAAGACTTAGCTAGACCTAGGGTATCTGGAAATAAGCTGTATTAAACAACATCTGTAAATTCCAACATCTTTACTTCTATAAAATTATTACCTCCTGCAGCTATGACAGCATCTGCCCATTGAACAGTCTCTTCATTATATTCTCTCCTCTTTACTAGACGAACCTCAATTCCCTCATTCCTAGGATAAAAAAGGAAAGGTTATATGAAATTTCCACTAATAATATATATAATAGGGATATGTTTTCTGAGAGACAGATTATTACAATAAAGATGTAAAATAAAAAATTTGTATCTTATAAACAAATTTACATGGAGCTTTATAACATTATCTTTGTTTTTCATTTAATTACAACAGCCAATTAACTATGATAATTAAGGCAGCATATGAATAAACTGAAAGTTATATCCCAAATCTCCATGTTCTTTAAAAACTTTTATAACCACTAATGAATAGCAATATTGGTTAAATTTCATTTTCTCTACTCCTTCTGATGCTTAAATTCATAATACAAAAATGGTCCAGAAGACTAATATCTAGAGTGACAAATTTTAAACTATAAAACTGAAGGCCATTATTTTAAATCCAACAAATATTCATTGAGTACCAGACACTGAAACAGTAACTAAATACTTGGTAATTTGCATGTTTCTCACACTGACTCTCTTGTATACACCTAACTGTGTTTCGTCCTGACTGAACTGAAGTTTCTGTAATTTTTAAGACAGAAGTTTCTATAATTTTTAAACACTCAAAAATATTATAATGCATACTCATATAATCCATTAGTCTGTTTTAATAAATAAAACATTACACAGTTTAACAATCATACCCCACCCTGTACACAGCTGAGGCCAGCTGATTACTGAATTAACTCTGCAGGAAATGCATTTCACTGGAAGATAAAATAATTGAAAATATCTGTGACATTTTCAGAGTACAATAAGTATTTCCTTAAAGATGCTATAAAACCAAATCCATTAACCTCAATATAATTTTCTGAAAATAATTTTATCATAACAATCATCACTAAAAGTCTAAGAATGGGCTGCTAGTACAAAATAAAAACTCGAAGTCTTGAATATAAAATCCCACCCAAGACCCAATCCCATAGACTTACCGTAAACTATCTACAATATGTTCTACATTTTTGGTGTGAATATGATGTCGTTCAAGAAGTCCACTGTAACTAGAGCCTTTCAATGCAAGCTATATCAAAACAAAAGAAATGTTGCTTTACTAATATATATTACACATGATGTTCTAATATTGTTTTTTAAAAGCCCCATAAAAAATACACTTTTTTGAAAATATATTTTAATGATTACCTGTGAAACCTCTAAGTTAAAATTGAACTAGAAAGCCCAATATCAGAAAATTGTAATTTGCCTTTAATACTAAACATAGCATTACGTTTTCTGAATCATGTAGTCACCAGGATCTTAAAATCTTATGTTTCACAGTTCAAGTTTTTTATATTTTTGATGGCTTTTGAACACACTGCATACAGCTACTTGATGACCAAAGATAAACTAATATTTTTAGAGGCAGTTAAATGACTTTTGTTCCACTTGAATTTGCTTCTCTCTTATTCTCAGATTGATAAACCTCTACTTGCAATTTACTCCATGCAATCTAAGCAAAGGACTGATCATCTCCATTAGAAAGGATAACTTTTAGATATATATATGTCCTTCAAGAATTATTTTTCCTAGTTGGAGTGAACATTTTATAACTGTCTTATCATTAAATTTTTTAAAGTTTTTTTTGTTTGTTTTGTTTTGTTTTTTGAAACGGAGTCTTGCTCAGTCACCAGGCTGGAGTGCAGTGGTGGGATCTTGGCTCTCACTACAACCTCCGCCTCCTGGGTCCAAGCAATTCCCCTGCCTCCCAAGCAGCTGAGACTACAGGAACCCGCCACCACACCTGGCTAGTTTATTTGCATTTTTAGTAGAGACGGAGTTTTACTATGTTGGTCAGGATGGTCTCGATCTTCTGACCTCATGATCCACCCACCTCAGGCTCCCAAAGTGCTGGGATTACTGGTGTGAGCCCCTGGGCCCAGCCTTAAAGTATATTTCTTATCAATAATCCATAAAGTAAAATATAGAGAAAAAAGTTCAGAAATATCCTTAGTGAACATCCATTTAATCACCAGGTAGAAAATTTGTCTGCTAGAGTGAATGCTAGAATTCAAATTCAAAATGTTATTTTTCTTTGCTCCTCCGAATTCCTTTATATCTTTCCTTTCCCCTTTTTTTTTTCTTTTTTTGTTCCTGAGATGGGGTCTTAACTATGTTGCTCAAGGTGGTCTTGAACTCCTAGGTTCTAATGATTCTTCTGCCTCAGTTTCCCAAATAGATGAGATTATAGGCACATGTCACTATGTCCAGCTTATGCCTTTCCTTTTTATGAAGCAAAATCAGTTTTTCAAATACCTGTCTAATACAATTTTTTTTTTTTTTTTTGAGACAGCATCTGGTTCTGTCACCCAGGCTGGGGTGTAGTGGTGCAATCTCAGCTCACAGCAACCTCTACCTCCTGGATTCAAACCATCCTCCCACCGCAGGATCCCAAGCAGTTGGGACTACAAGTGCACACCACCATACCCAGCTAATTTTTGTATCTTTTTTTTGTTGGTAGAGATGGGGTTTCTCTATGTTACCCAGGCTGGTCTCAAACTCCTGGGCTTAAGCAATCCACCCACCTCAGCTTCTAAAAGAGCTGGTATTACTGGTGTGAGCCACCACACCTAGCCTAATATATAATCTCAAATATTTTGTTTTAAAACATTACTTACTATGAAGTTAAACTAATTTTTAGAAAGCATTTTAATACATATTTTACTTTTTAAAGGTTATAACACTAACAACATGGAAGATGAATATTTAAAGAAAACTGAAATCAAGTATTATCGTATGGCTCAAAATAATTAGTGTTAATATTTTGATACCTACCTTCCCCATCTTTTGTCTACAAATGCTGGGTTAAGAGTTTTTAAATAGTTTTGTCCTTACTTTGTAATCTTTTTATATTATCACAAAAGAGAAGCGGAGGAAGCATTTGGCTATTAGATGTTAACTCACCAAGATACACTATAATAGATTAGACAGCCTGTGACAAAGTTTAATTCCTAGCCAAAAGCCTCATTATACTTAGACTATGCAACCAACATGAAGAATTTTTTAAAGGAAAGCACTGACTAAGATTAACAGCTTAAAAAATTCCTTCATTTAATTTAATCAACAAATCAACAGAAGTCAATCAGGTCTGAAAAACTATTCTTTCTTAGAGTAGAATTTCTTAATCTGGACCAACATAGCATTAATATTCAGATGACCACTATCATTACCCAGTACAGATTGACTAAAACTGTACTAATTACCTCTCGGTGAGTAAGGACCACTACACTCTCCCTTGGCAATCTATAGTTTCAAGGATGATTCCCAACTGCTCTCTCTCAACCTGGCCTAACTTTGGGGCTTCAAATAAATTTATTGAACTGCTTATTTGACATCTTTCTTTGGATATCTAACAGGCAGCTGAAATTAATAGAGGGCCAGATATTGAACATGCTAAATACTGAATAATAATAGTATTTAATTATTCAATTAATAATAATAGTACTTAATTATTCAGTTGATTTTCTAGCCCAAGAATTCCCCACCTATGGTTTAAGCCGAGAGTCTAGAGTCACACTCCATGCCTCCTTTTTGCTTATTTCCACATCCAATTACTAAATCCTATGTTTGATCCAAGCACTTTTCTTTCTTCACCTCTACCACTCACGATCTCACACCTGAACCAATGTACAAGCCTCTGACTGGGCTCCCTACTTCCACTCTTGGTGCCCTATAGATTATTCCTCATACAGAAACCAGAGGGACCACAGCATGTCTCTTCCTCAGCTTAATGCCCTTCTACAAATGGCACTTTCTTCCTATTAACTCTCCAGGATTATGCCACCTGACTTCTGCTCCTTTCTCCCAGCTCATTTTTCCTCCCCATTCCCGCATTCTAGTCTCTTTGGTCTATTTTCACCAAGCTCTTCCCTTTGTACTTGCTAGAATGCTTTGCATCCCTCCACCTAACCCCTAGTTCTTTTTAACTTTGGGGTGCCAGAACTGCTGAAACAGCTGCTGCTGGTGCTGCCCTTGAAGCTGCAATGACCACCACTGCCAATTATGCCATCTCAAAACCTGTTAATTCCTTTTTTGCATTTATCACACCTAAAATTATCCTGGTATTAAAAAAAAATCTATTTGAATCTCCTTACTAGAATATAGGTACTGGGAGAACAGTGATCTTACTTATCTTGTTTGCCATTATTCCTTAGGGCCTAGGTACTGGCTAAGTATTTATTGAGTGAACTCATGCATGCATTTTCCAGAAAAGGAAGACTAGTACAGAAGCAGATGCTATGGAAGATAACCCAAAAAGTGACAACAGTGTACAAAGCAGGTCTCAGAATTGAGGAGAGTTAGATTTGTTACTATAGGATATTATTTTGTTATAATAATCATCTCTCACAATCCCATTTTAGGAGTGAACATTTTAAACAGCTAGAAATTCAGCTCTAAAAAAGCTTAATCCAAACATTTGAGTGCCTACTACTCTGTTCATTTAACTATCAGTGGAATTCAATCAAATGTATTAAAGAAGGCACTGCAAACTGCTAAGGACAATGAGAACCCATTCAAATGTACAATAAGCCTATCAGAACAGTTACACCTAACTTACCACTTCTACTGTAAATAACTTCAATTCCCTAACCAGACTTTTTACTTTATGTTCCAAGTTTTGGTTTGGACAATATGGAACATGTACCAAGGAAAAAAAGCATATAAACCTTACTGTGTAAGCCCTGTAAATGCTTATCTGGTTCAGAAACTTCTATGTTTACTTCCTGGTTCTCAGCAAGTCCCATGAAAATAAGATACCCCTCAGCTGAGTGTCAGGGAACTCTGGCTTGAGATGGCGAAAGGAATTTGTGAGACAAAAAGTTTTGGAGAACCTAACAAAAAACTTCAAGTTTTCTATGATTGCTAACAATTCTAAAATTACTGAAATTCTAAATACAAAGTTCAGTCAGCCTCAGAATACTTAACATTGAAGCAGAAATGTCAGTTCATAAATTCTTATTCCCATCAAATTTCTTGTGAACTAATTTTCTAATAAGTCATGCTCAACATTCATTTACAGAATTTAAGTTCTTATTTTCTTTAAAGACCTCGCTGATTGGGCTATTAAACTTTATTAACACGAACTGGATAAAGATGGCAGATAAGAAATAAAATCACTTAATAAACAGCATCAATTAGAATGGCTTAAATCACTATACGACTGGCTTTAATTCTTTCCTCACATTCAATCTCCATAGCCAGTGAGTAGTGAAGTCCAATAATTACATTTGTTTAAAAGGAATATGCAAAAGCAAGTAAGAATTTCTTGCTATATCTCTGAAAATAACATGACTTCAAATATCTAAAAACTTTAATCAGACAAAAACAAGAACACGATTTCTTAGAAAATGTCTTACCATTAAAAGGTTAGAGAAATTACTGAAATTTAGAACACATTCCCAATTCTCTGCAATGTTACACAACATTATTAGTAATAATCTTTAATATTTTTCCCAAAACCCTGTTAATTCTTCTGTCCATTAAAATAAATGGATAAATATAAGATTCATCAGGACACTCGGAAAAAGCAGGTGACTCCAAGAGACTTACAGACAGACAGATACATTTCAGTATAACCAAGAATTTCTCCTACAGAATCTCCAAAAGCCAAGATCACATCTCCCCACACAGCTCTGATATTAAAATAAAGCATAGCATATAAGGAAAAAAGCAAGATTTTGAATGGATAGATTTATCACACTTTAAGATCCAGATGTGGTAGTTATCCTATTACCTAAATGGTTTATAATACTTTTAATAAATTATCACATAGTTTCACTTATCCAAAACTAAATTTATTGCAATTACAAATTTTTAAGACTTGTTTTACTAGTCAGTTGAGTATTGTTATTTTGTACTCTATGTAATTTCCATGATAGCTTAATAAGGGAAAGAGTTAAGTCTTTTTAAATTTAACACATAATAAATGCACAAACTTTTGAGACAATGACAGTTCAGTATTTAAATTCACTAGGCATAATTTAGGCACCCTTAAAAGCATACATTTAATGAAATGGTACCCAAGTG